TTTTTTAATAGTAGTGGAGAATCTTCCTGCCATGAGGTTTGCCAACTGGCCGTTGGGATAAGTCGCCATGCAACTTCTGTGCATGGGGATTGGCATCTGCGCAGGAAAAATCCCGCCACTGCGCATGCACCAGTCTTGAGTTTCCACAAAATGGAGACAGCAAGAAGTATGGACAGGTATGGAATGGTATGGACAGTGGCTGCCCGGAACTGACAAATCATCCTCTCAGCCACACCACCGCCACACACGCGGCTTGTCTTGGATGTCCTTGAAAAACAACATCAGAATTCCTCGAAGGTACGTCTTCTTGCTTTGTATGGGATGAGCCGGGATAAGTGTTAAAATTACTCGCCCGAAGTTTCATTTCCCTTTTTGTGGTGTCAACATGTGTCAACCCATTCCGCCCCCAAAAAAAAAACAGATTGGTCACTCGGAGATCATGACCCCAAAAAACCGGGTGAATCATGATGAATCCACCCCCTCTGTGGTCCCAAATATATGCTTTCATCCCCTACATCCATCATCATCATCATCATCATCATCATCATCCATCATGGTTTCTGCAGGATGTTTACGGACTAAACGGGGGATGGGATTAATATGTCATACACCCATTTAAAAAAAAACAAAAACATCATCAGTGTATTAGCATATTATATTACTTATCCCCATCATATCCCCATGAGTATTACATTATATAATATTACCTATCATATCCCCATTAATATTGGTTTCAATGGATTGGTTTAGGGGAAAATTTACAGGAAAACCCCATATTTAATGGTTTCCTCCAAATTTTCCTTTAAACCAATCCATTGATGGTTATGTCGTTGTATTGAACATGATTGAACCATCTTTTTCGATGGGATGAGGTCCAGCGATTCACCCCTCGATACCAGGTCACAGCTGGGATCCATCGAAGCTCTCCCGTCTCTCTCGCCTTGCCGACAGCCCTGGGCAGAGCGATTGGCTCCAAATTGGGGTTCCCATTTTGAAGACCCAGAAGGACCTAGAAATCATGGAGAAATGGGAATATCATGGGGGTATCTGGGTATGTTTTTTTTTTGGGGGTGCACAATTTCCCGGAAAAAAAATGGTTGGTTCTTCTTATTAAAGGTCCCAAAAAAATAGTAAAACACGTCCAAGTTATGGGGCAGCCATTGCTAGAGTCATGGCCATCACCGTCAAAGGTCTTCGCCCCTTAGCTCCGCACGGCATGTCCAGATACCATGTATTTTGCAGCCAAACCTTGGCTGTACCGGTGTGACCCTCCATCCTGTCCGAGCAGGGAGCCTCAAGCTAAGCTGAAGGTTTGGTGAATATGGTATCCATTGGTATCCCATGAGAATGAGACTTCCCTCACGGGTAGCCACTTGCATCATCCAGCTATTGGGATATCCCCATTAAACCCGCTTGAGACGCAGGCCGAGTCTTTGTAGGCCCCGTCCTGGCAAACTGCGGCTTGAAGCATGATGTACATGTCCAAATGCATTATATATTGTAACATAGTGTAATACATTTCTAATATATATATATATTATATAATGCATATAATATATATATATATGTGCATGTATTATATATATATATATATATATTTGTATATATTTGTATGTATATGTAAATAATGTATATATATATATATTTGTATATATATATATATATAATGCATATATATATAATGCATATATATATAATGTGTATATAATGTATATATATAATGTATGTATATATATATATTGTATATATATATATGTATGTGTGTGTGCGTGCATTATATTTGTATACTACATATTTGTACGATACATTAAATCATATAGATATAGGATATACATACATATATATATATACATGCTTTTGGCTACAGCTGCAGATAGATCATTGGGTTCGTTTGCAGGAACAAATACTGGAAACCTTTCTTTCTCAGCACAAAATACGGAGGTCTCCTGGACAATATCCCTTCGGCCAATAAAAGGAACATAGGCAAGTAAATATGTATATATAAATCACTAAATATAGATATATGAGCTCATATGCGCGACATAGATATATATATATAGAGATATAGATATATACATATGGATAGGGATATATACATATGGATAGGGATATGGATAGGGATATGGATACTATAGATGTACATATATGAGCTTATATGTGCGACGGAAGTTATTCTGAAAGTCGCTGGACCCATGTGACATGTCCGTGGTACCTAGTGTTCCATTCCCTGCCCTCGGTTTGATCAATGACCTCGTTTTCCAACCCAGCGCGTGGTCTTTATCTTTTCTAAGTCTTCAATTTTACCTCGTTTTGAACCATTTCCACCCGAAGGCTGCGTTACATGTTCGCAAAAAAAAGCTGTTGTTGATATACGTGCGTGGGTATTGACCCAAATTCGTTCATCCGCAAACGGCCATTGTTCGCGACATATACTATTACGTTCGCCGACTTTCGCGAATTTGGGAGAAAAAAAAAAACGTTGGCAAGTTGGCAAGGATTCTAAATATGACATGAACGGTCATCACAATCATAATTCCTTACAAGGTCCTCTAGAGACTCTAGATCAATCCTATGTGTGTGTGTGATCATGTGTGTGCTTGCGATATAAATAGCAGGCTTGCTGCGGCATGCTTGTTGTGGAAGACTGCAGGAATCCAAATTGTGGATGCTTGGTGTGGGCTGGTCATTGTCAAATGAAGCATCATGAAGCATCATTAAGCTTTGTGATTACTTGACAAGGCTTTGAGCTTCGACCATCCCCCACCAAATGTGTACATCTGTGACACAATTCTAAGTATGCTTGGATGCGTGAAACTTCAAGCAAAACGTGCTGCCCGCACCCACACATATTCAAATAGATTGTCTGATTCAGTTTGAGAAAGCCTCACTGGCGGCAGGAGCACCTGCTGTCTCTGCTCCGTGAGGACAATGGATGCTGCTCGACCATCGCAATGCTGTGTGATGTGCACGTCTGTGCCATCCACAACGTAAAGACTGGGCACCGGCAGAGAGGAAAATGATACGACAAGTGACATGGGCCTTTCTCCCCTTCCACCCTCAAAAATATGGGACTTCACTCCATACATTCGGGTGAGAAGCCTCTCTTTGAGTCGACCCTTCAAATGATCAAACATCCCCTGACTGTCTGCGGTTGAGCAACAAATCTTCCACGGCATCTTGCCATTGGCCCTGAATGCCTGAAATTGCATCGCCGCGATCAAGAGATGTGCAAGTGCTGGTACTTGCAAAAAGCGGTGTGATACTAATGAACACACACACACACAGATATAATATATATATAGATATATATATATATATGTACACAATATAACTTATATATATATAATTTATATATATATAATTTATATATATATAATGTATATATCCAATGGGAATCTCATGGGAATAGTAGGTTAAACATGGTTAAACCTAGAAGGACCTAGCAACTTGCCATGGCTCTGAAGAATCCCCACCTTTCCAGTGCGTTCGACCCTGCCTGCAACAATGGAAGACCTTGGTGCTGACCATCTTTCCCACTGGGGATTGATTCAACAAAGCAAACACGGATCCACCATCCCCAAATTTCTATGGCTGGGGAAACCATCAAGTTATCATAAGTTATATATAGCTGCTTTATGTCATTGCTCTGCTAACATCTTTCCGTTGCTTGCGGTGACATCTTTCCTGAAACTTGGTGCCCTGGCCACAGCACAGGGAGGGACCATGACTCAGTCGCTCCATCTGTGCCTTCAAATGGGAACCAGAAAAAAAAAAAACTCATGTCTGGAATGGGGAATCATTACTTAGCCGATTGTAGATAACGTTGACCAAGAATCCTAAGAGTACTTAAGATATTCTTCGATATTCTTCTACCATTAAGCCACAATCTATCTTTTTATTAGCTTAGGCTTAGCTCATGGGGACCATCCATCAGTGCATGATTTTTGGACATCAACTTGGAGCCTTTGGAATCGGCTCCTTCCCTCCAAAGATGCTGCTCGCACCTCCAGCGAATAGAAAACTGCTCGCGTCCAAGTAGTTCCTCACTCCCGGGAAAGCGTCGGCCAAAAGTGCTGGCATGTCATAGCCTCAGGGCCCCGGGGTGCAGCTTCTTCGCATCGAGATATTAGCCTCTGGTATCGTAACAGAACTGTGAAACATCAATGAACATCACCATGGTTCTAAATCATGGTTAATCATTAGTTAATCATCTATATATAAATGTGCCATCGTCCATAGCAAACTTAGCAAACTGTTCAATTACCAGAGGGTCCGCGTCAAGGCAAGACTGGCAGCAGCCAGGACTTGAATTTGGCATTTTTTTCTGGCCAATGAGTTCATCTCCTAAACAGCTAATGGGAAATGGCGGGATTGAAACTTCTCTCGCTTTTAGATTGAAACTTGGAATGTCCACGAGATCGCAAAAGGCCGCATTTCATCAACATCAACGGCATCAACGCTCCTTGAGATTGGCATGCTTCAAGGTATCAGCGAACTGCACACACAGCATCCTGGCCAAATATCCTTTCAAGCCGTCAGGCATCTGCTTCCAACCGGGGATCTCCTGCCAACCATCATATCTCAGAATCCATATCTCCGCCGGAGGCCCCAGCAATGATGACACAATCCTGATGCTTGAAAAACATGTTTCAACCTTCAATCCTGAAAAATACTACCCCCAATATCCCCCTTGTAAGGTTGAAAATGCTTGAAAAAAAGAGACATATCAAGATATTGGTTGATTGTGTGTGATGGGGATATAATTAAATACAGTATACCTTTATATATATATATTATGATCATCATTATTAGTAGTAGCAGTGGTGGCACTGTTATTATTATGATTATATATATGTATATATACCCTGGCCTTCCAAAGACTATTAAAACAACGGTCTTTAGCCTAAAGACGGTTTCACGGTTGGACCTAATGTACTTTCGCAATCACGCCCAATCACGCTTCATCACCCTTTTTCTCCCTCATTTTCACACAAGCGTTGTCACAGCACCATGCCAAAAGGATCCCAAGGGTTCATCTTCTCCTCCGATCTCGTGTCCTGACCAGGATTCAACTGAAACTGGTTTATTATGGTTTGTTGCCACCCAAAAATCCCAAAAGGTTTGATTTTATTCCTGTGGTCCCCAACTTGAAGGCCAAGATTCTTTTTCCGGGATAGACAGTGCTTCATAGAATATAACCTGCAACAACAGGCCAACCATTGAAATCAACATAAACTGAACAAGCCAATGGAAAACCCTTGAAGAAACCCATGAAGCCTCAACTTGGCACATTTGAGAAGCCAATGGTGCCGGGTTCGTGGATGCGCCCTTGCACAAATTCCTCAGACCCAACAAGACTTGCCAGATAATGTCAGAATATCATGTCAGATAATGTCAGATAGTCAAGACCAATGTCAAGATAATGACAGATAATGTCAGAAGAATGTCAGAAGAATGTCAGATCATGCCAGATAATCAAGACCAATGTCAGATAATGTCAGCTAAGCTACCTTTCACCCAGCGCATCGCATCTTCATCGATAAATGTGTGCCACATTCTTGGATTGGCTCCTTGGGGATTCACGTGAAGAACAACTAGTAGGGCACGCGCGAAAAAACATGTTGCATGCAAACTATATGAGTCCAAAGCGCTGTAGCGCCGAACATCTTTGCAAATATGAATAAGCACCTAGGTGCCAGGATACAACCAATGATCTTAATTAATGTAAACCCCGGATTAATAAACCCTGGTTGATTAATTTGGGCCCCTTAAAATAGCAATGATTGGCTACTAAAATGGTACCCCTGCAGTGAAATAGCATGGTGGTTTATTAATCCAGGGTTGACATTAACATTCCGATGGGACCATGGCCTATGGCCTGTGTGACCTGAACCCCGGCATTCATTTGCATTTACAGGACGTTGTTTCCAAATCCAATGAGAAGTCTCAAGATTTGGTTTCATCAGCAACTGAATTTTCTTGATCTGAAATCAACATAGGTTGATTTTGTGGTGTTGTTTCTACATCAGATAAGGAGCATGTAGTTTCGGCTTCATCAGCCAAATGCTTTTTTGCAGCCTCTGAGAGTGGGCCATGCAAGTTAAGTAACAATATCCCAAGCGGCACATGGTGGCACGACAAAACCCAAGCCTAATGTGCGCCACAGATAGTGCACAATGCATGTTGACAAATTTCATGCCCGAATCATGCAGTGACTCTGCAGCTTCTTGTGTCCTTGGATCGAGAAAATTGCAAGCATTGGGTGCTACAAGTTCAGGCGTTCAACCAATGTCTAACCATGAAGCGTGTCGGAATGTTTATGGCCTAAGTAACCAGACCGTTTGTAAATTTGGAAGGACAAAGTATAATTACAACAGTCTTTGGAAGGTCCGGGTATATATAATATTATATAATCAGTGTACTTGTTTCATGAATTAGAGGTAATAGTATTCATCCTAGCTTACATATCAATAAATTTACTGATAATACTTAATCCTCACCGGGTCTTGACCGGGCCCTGTCAAGTGCAGCCATGCTGCAAGAAGCGGTCGTTCGCTTCCATGGTGGTCATGAATTTCGCCAATGAGCTCCTTGGCACAGCTGGATGGGCCATGGTGGGTTTGGTGGTTACAGAACCCAAGGAAACTCGAACCCCTCCTATTTCATTGGTTTCTTGTGAAACTAAAATCTATGAATTCAATTTGTAAATTAACAATTAACAATAATTGTAACGTCACAAGTTGGAATATATCAACCAAAAATCATTGCCACACTTGTCATCAAGAGGATTTGATGGTCGGCATGGTGTTGCACGGCATCCAGCAAGCAGTGGTTAAGCCACATGAGAATGATCCGGCCATTGTATGCCTTTGCAGTCATTAGGATCTCACCGTTCTTCTTCTTTACCTGAGTAGTGGCAGGCACAGTACTTGATTTTAACTAGACTATGAAAACTTCCGTTTCCATTCTATTTTGCCCAAAAACTCTTGAGGGTTAAATTTGCAAGCAAACCAGATTGATTCCATCATGTTTGCAACTCCAAGTTATCCCACGAAGAAAAGGACAACTATGAACCACCCCTGAAAATTGGCTTATACATTCTTTTTGTACTTTGGACATCTTTGGGCAACCAAATATTGAAATCATAAAGCTATCATCCATGTGACCATTTTGCGAAGGAAGGGTGGTTGGGTGTGCGGAATGCGGCGGGTTCGGCAGAAATCGAGAAAATGCCTATAGGCTTCCTCCAACTGGACATTGAATTCCCCAGGCCCAAAGTATTAGAGCTCTTCTGTCAGCAAAATCCTGAGAATGGTATACAAAAACCACCCTTTTGATAGAATGCTTTGGTTTTGATGTTATGTTTGGTGGTAAAAATCAATAGTAACCAAGATCAGTTGAGACTCAAACTCCCACCGTTCGCTGTGAACAATAGCCCAAGATTTATCGTGTGCATTGTGCACCATTTCAGCAGCGACGGGTGCTTGAACATGCGAAGGTTGAGCAAAGGACCTCAGATCCACAGGCTAGTTTTCCTGATGCGAAGGGCATCAAAAGAGTATTTCAACAACATTTTTTGACAAAGGGGGTAACAGTAACAGTAGGGAAATTTGATCAGGATTGTTCTGTTTTCAGAATTAGACCAACGAAAAAAAAACAGGAGCAAAAACTTTGAGAAACACTTACAAATTCCCCAGGTTTGAACCAGCCAAGGTACACAGGTTACTATCTCTTAATCTGCGTGCAACAAATGACTCTAGTCCAAACTCCTCCAATTCCCATGTGCATCCATCCCCATGGTTCCAATACAGATTTCCTGCAGCTCCCTTTGCTTCTGCAGGGCAACGAAAACAGATTGTATCAGATTTCCAGCTCGCATTAGGACGCCAAAGCTCAACATGGTACTCCCAATCTCCCCTGAGCTCTGTAAGAGCAAACCGTGCACCAGATTTAGTAAGTGGACAAAGTGCGCGTTTTTGATCAGTTTCAGACAGAGGTCTTCCTGCTACCCCCGTTTGGGGATTGACACCATCATATGCAGCCTCAAGACTCCAGAGAAGACGGCGAAAGACAGTATTTAGTGTCCGATTTTTGAACAATTTGTCTCGTGGGATCGAGAAGAGAAGATATCGAGAGGGACGAACTGAATGTGGTCGGAATAGGACCAGGTTGAGAAATATAGCCATGACCTTTTCAAACCGATGGATAGTCCATAAACGTGTTGCATCACCATGCAAACCCACAGGGACATGCTCATCTGATGCGTCAGATAAAACAGCCCACGGCTCACCAAACTCTCTGGCATGCCTCCAGTACGCTGAAATTTCTGATTTGGGAACTTGAACTTGCACTTCATCCCACAGATATGACAATACCTCATGTGGGTGTAAAATAGGATACTTCTCAAAGCCAAGGCCACCAGGTGCCTTTTTGTTGACCACCGGAACTCTGATTGTATGGGTTTCCTCGGTGTGTTTCAATTGCCCGGTGTAGATTCCAAAATCAAATTAAGTCATACTTGTTGACTTGTTGCCCATACTTGATGATAAAACAACCCCAAGATACCCCAATGAAAAATTCACCAAATTTCCAGACACCAAGACCAAGAGGCAACCGGTATTTTAACAGCGCGCCAAAAATCCCGTGAATCATTTCGAGAAGTGCTAGAGGTCTTCCCAAGTCGTCGCACATCAGGATGAGAAGCGTCCCCAGTTTCCTAGGATCAGTGTGTTGAGGGCAACATGTCAAAATATCAATGTTCTATAATTACTATCATGAAACTAATTGGTTCGAAGGGTGTGAAACCATTTAGATACAGGCCCACAAATCGAATCTCTCTCTCTCTCTCTCCCTCCCTCCATTGCCACAAATCGACTATGTGCAAACATTGGTATGGCGTGATGACAATATATAGCCACATGCATTTGTTAATTGTATGATAAATTCTTGTTGCTTTGCGTAAAAACAACCATAAGAAACAACTGTTTTCGGAAACATTTTTTGTTGTGGGATCTACCTTCAAGTAAGCACACCATACAGTTGCAATATGGCTAGACACTTACAACATCACAGCTAGCTATTCAGGGTCAATATGTTCATGGACCATCCACATGATGCATAATGATCAGAATGATCAGTTCAGAGTTGACAAATTAGTGCAATTGGCATGCATGCTTTCATTTTTTTGTAAAGTTATTCATAGTGCTGTAACCCTGCAGCTCAAAACAATGAGGTGATCATCATGATGATATCTATAAAATTATTTCTACATGGTAATCAAGTTCAAAGACAGAATGGGTTGATTGAACTTAATTACCACGGGGTCCAGCCCACTGCAGTACACCCACACCCTTATCCACACCATGACAGCATTTGAGGTTCTTTCACTTGATTTCGGAGGCGAGTCATCACCTTTCCAATGGACGATGCCTGGCCGCATGAAGAGCAGCAGGGAGGCAAACAGGTTGGAAGATAGGTAGCTTTGGCAGCTCTAAAAAATGAATCCAGATCTTTTCAAACAGTTATTCAAAGCCCTTGGCCCAGCTCTAGCTGTTCCAAATACTTATTATAGAACCCATACAATGTTGAAGCCGATGAATCGCCAACACTAATCTGAGCCAAAATACCCCAGAAGCAACATCATCAACATGTCCCTGAAGGGTGTGTGGAACACCAGGGTCAGCCAGACCTGCGTGGGGTAGGCCAAGGAATCCATGGATATGTTTACTGGACCTTTTGATGGGTGTTAGTGATCAACCTATCAACCTTCACCTGTAGTGACAGCAACTCACAATTGTCATGTGATGTCATATGTGGCTGGCACTGCATTTGTTTTTTTGAATGACTGCGAACACACGGCATCCCAAAAGGCTAAGTTTCCCCAAAGTTGATTGGCCGAACACTAACCCAGCCAGCGTGTTCCTTCACGCAAGCTAAGACTGTTGACCAGACCCCATGGATTGTGGGTACTTAAATGATGGCCTTTTGAAGCCTTGACTTGGAGCATGAAATCGTGGATCCAAAATAGCGCCACAACCAGCCAAAGCCCCACCATCCAAACAAAACACTTAGGTAATTGGATTTGTATCAGTGTTCTTCAAACATTCAGCTGGTAAATACTCTTGTTTTTTTACAAGAACTGGCAACACAAGAACCAAGGGCTGCTGGGATTCTAAATGGCACTGTCATCAAACGATCCATCAAGCTATTGATACGTTCCCTTGCCTACTTGATATGGTAAGCTGACATAAAATTGGTGAAAGCAGTCACTGCCCCATCAGCCGCTTCTGCATCTTCAAGGAGGGTCCCAATGCTGCCAACCTGCAGTGCCAGTCAACATAGTTCATGAGAATTATTCCTAAGCTGGGGATCTGGGAATACATGTTTAATATTATACCAAGGCCAATTTTGTCCATCCCTCAAATTATTGAAGCCTACATGCAGCCAATAAGTGTTATGCAACATGCATACACATTTCCATTGGTATATGTTCCCCCTGGTGTATCCCAAATATCCCAGACCCAATCCCACCTTTGCTGCATCGATGGACTTCTGCAACTGGGAACGGGCACCCTTCATTGTGGCAATGTGGGGCTTGACTTCGGCAAGGATCGCCGTCACAACCGAGCCACTCCTTACAAAGGTCATCCAAGCTTCAATTCTATCCATGGGAATATGTTCATGGAAAACACGATATCATGATGAGATACCATTAGTATAATGTATACTGTTTAATTCTGTAACATACTGTAACTATGAAAACAATCAAGCATATCTTGATTCTGTAATCAATAGGAGAAGGTGTGCATTACACATATAATAATCTTGTGTAGCCTATTGGCCCACAACATCAAACAAAATCCAAACCCACAAGGGAGTCACAGAACCAACGCGGCCTAGGAACATATGGCGAAGTTTGTCACTGTCCTCAAGCGATGTCCCCTTGGAGATACTTGCGCTGAGCTTTGTCATCGCCTGCAGGAGAGACGGGTGGTGGATTAAAAGGTTCGAGGTTATCTTTGATGGGCTAATGGTTCACCTACACTGGGTCAGTGGATTTCAGCTTATGTAGAAATGATCCCAGCCTGGTTTCCTTTCCGCAGATCCTTTTTGAAAGCATCATTTTTGGTCTTCTCAATCGCTTTCTTTTCCTTCTCTCTTTCCTTCTCCTGTTCCTTCAGCTCTTTTTTTTGCTGAGCCTCCTGTTCCTTGTGTTCACGCTTCAGCTTCTGCTCTTCTGTTTCTTCCTTTCTCTTCTTCTTCCCTGCCTGGCCAGTGCTGTCACTTGACTTTGAACTCTTTCCTCTTTTGTTACCTTTGCCTTTCTTCATGGTTTTCTTCTTTGATGCTTTCTTCCCTTTGGCCTGCCATTTGCTAGCGGTGAGATGTTTGGAAACTAAGTCTGCTCTAAGCAAGCGGGGGCATGAAAGGGTTCATGATGCCAGCATGCATTATAATTACCAATCTTGGTTAGACTGTTAAGAGGTATCACAAGGATTGCCAAGCTGGGGTGCCATGTTGTTGCTGGGCCTCTTTCTCTTCTGATTCACTGCTTGGCTTGTCCGAACTGCTGGCATCACTTGAATCCGAGCTGGTCGACGATGTGGAACGCTTCTTCTTCTTACCTTTTGATTTCTTTCCCTTGCCATGTTTCTTGTCATGCTTCCTCCCTTTGCGGCTTCTCACCCTTGACCTGCCCCTGGTCTTCTCGTCCTCATCCTTTTCAGCAGCCTGAAAGAGTGTTGTGGTCACATGGTCCACCGTTGTTTCCTCACCTTCACGATCCCAAATGAGATACTGACGAGTCTCCTGAGCAGCTAGCATTTGAGGGTCCAAAAAGTCCAACATCCATGCATGTGTCCCTTGAGGGTAATTACTACTGGGTGATAATAAAATCTTTGTCATCTCTAAAGATCAAAAAGTAATATAATTTCCCAAGTAAGAGTCAGGAGTGTCAAGTCCGTGAAGGTCTGGATTGGCTCTTATGTGGGTTTGTGACACCTCTGCATCCATGGTCTTGGCGGAGATTATTTGGTCCGCCACTTCTGTGCTCCCAAACTTTGCGATGATTTCCATGCGTGTCATCCATCGCCGTGATCCATAAGAACGGTTCTTACGCTTCTCTTTTACTTGGATGTAAAATTCAGACTCCGTCCAAACCCCAGCGCAGCTCGTCCACTGCTCTAGAAGAACTTGCAGCATTCCGGAGTCCCGGAATGCTGCACGTCCGGCACGTCGCACCTCTGGAGGTGTTCTTGGACCTTAGACCGGGTAGAGCATGCATTTGGGCGAGTAAGTGCTTCATAAAGTGTTCAAACTCATTGTTCAAAACTCCTGTCTAAACCAGAACCTTGAAAGTAATTTGTCGCAGTAGATGGCGCAAAAACAAGATTATATGTTCTTTCTTGATGTTTGCTTTCGAATTTTCAAATGGCAGTCCATTCTAGAGACCTTGCTAGCTCTTTTGGGCAATTGCTTTCTATTTCACATGATGTGTCTGGCACAATGATCTATTCTCTCCAAAACTATTTTACTCCCTGCCCATGAAATTACACCTAGCTACTCTGCAGTGAGCGTGAGAACCTCATGTACCGCGCATGGGCCATCCTCTTTGTCCGGATTTGCCTTGCCTTGCGTGCCTCTTCTGAATCACTACCATCACCATCACCATCATCATCATCAGGAGGGTCCTCAGGCGGTGTGGGAGGATCTGCTCCTGATGCATCTCCTGCGGTCTTCCTATCCTTTGGGTCCTTGGACCTTGGTTGGGAAACAGCCATGTCCCCAGTTGAGGGTCGCCTCAAACAGTCATGCACCGCCTGGGCTCTCTTGGCATCTTGCTGACTCTGCTCAGGCTTTGGGATTGTCAAAGGCTGTTTTGGGGCTGCCTTGGCTTTGACTGCAGTAGCTGACACCTTTCTCTCATCACCTGGTTTGGCTTCTAGAACAGACTTGCTTTGAATTGCCCGGCTGAGCTTTGGCTCTGAAAAAGTCTCAGCACTTTCACTTTTCTTCACCTTCATCAACTTGGACGGGGGGGTAACCAACTCAACACCAACCTCCTTTCGTTTTTGTTTAGCCTCCTCAAGTTCCTTCTCTGTCGCTGGCACTGTCGAGGCTTCTGAATCTAGCGCACAGTGCAGACTGCAATTGGTAAAGGTCAGAATACAATATATAGCTACATGATTTGACTGGTGGTTTTTTAAAAACAAAATGCCATTGGCCATTGCATCATAAACCCATCCTATCCTTTTGGGGTTGCAAAGCTTCACCAAATATCCTCAAGGATCCCCAAACCCAAGCAGTGAAAAATGACAGAGGTAAAAAGGAGTAAGGGATGGTTTTGGGCAGGCCCCTCGAATATCACAATATCTTTTTTGGGTGGAGGGGGATCAATCTTTGACAGTCTTGATAAAACAGTAAAGACAAGGTTGGAATGAAGTTGTAGGATCACATCCCAGGCATTAAATCTATTAACATAACGTAACTGTAGTAGTTCCATTTTTTTTAACTCCAAACTGTTTACTTAAGGGATTGGTAGATGAATTACTGTAAGTTCTGTAGGGAAACAAAATATCATCTTAATGGCAAAACCTAGATGCCTGCATCTGGGGTACATGATATTTGGTATATCTCTCGTGTTGCTTGCCCATTGGTATCATAGATCGTTGGCGCTGACTATGCCTGGCAATCTAATGTTGGATACTAGTCTACAGTTCTGAATCTTTGTGGGTTAAATTAGTCAAAGGCAACACATCTTGTCTTGACCCTGACTTGTGCAGGAGTTGGAATCAGACTGGATAGATATGCAGCGTATATTTCTGGACCAAGCTGGAAGAGTGAAGGGATTTGCGACTTGGCCCCAACTGGTCAGCCAGCCTGGCCTGCTTCCGGGGGGGATCTCGCTTTTGTCTTCAAACTCCTGGTGATATTGGGTTTGAGATTTGCACTTGTTTTTGTCCCTCGGTATAGCTGCGAAGGTATTCATTATAGGGGTCCCAAGGATGCCCCAGTGGTTTTACCCCATCAATGGTACATTTTGTGACCTGTATTTTTTTTTCGATTTGAGGAGCCAAAAAACCAGTCCTGGAATCACAAGGTGTGGAACTTTCGCTTAAAGAAGCACCAAGTTCAGCTGCCCGAGCTTTCCGCTGGGCAGCTTTTGCTAAAAGCTGTTCCACGTCTGTTGACATGGCTCTATAGGATTCCCAGTTCGGTTGATCAGTCAATAGCTGCAATCTGGAACATCTCAGAATTGGAAAACATGGAAAAACACAAAACAGTGTGAAAATGATGAAAAACTAAGCTATTTTGGGGGTTATGTCGTTCACGCCTAAGAACGTCCTTTCACGCCTAAAAACGTCCGTTCGCGATTCTTTCACGCTGTTTCACGGTTGTTTCACGGTCCATTCACGCTTACCCTCTGGTAAATTAACATAGACCTTGAAAACAACAAATTATTACAGTAGTGGACACTAATCTTCCATTCCAATATTTGCCAGGGTCTATGTTGATTTACTAGAAGCTAATACTTGGGTGGTTTTAGTCCAATCATTTTTGTTCCATGCAGTATCGGGCAATGCAATCAAGTATCTCATTTCTCAGCACTCCCTGGTGAACCTGGAGATTTCTTTCTGAAGCAAATGTGCCCAAAGACTCTTGAGGTTGAAGATTGTGGTTACAACCAAAAATGATTTCACCTCCAGGGCTACCTGGGTAAGCTAATTGATAGGACAATTTCCTGTCAATCGTCTAAACCAGTGCTAATCACAGGATGGAACCGGCCAGCGTCCCTCTCAGCCCTCAAGAAATCAGCCACACCAGATAGGGAGGCGTGCCGCCACTGATATGGGGCCTCCCACAACCCAAGACAAATTTTATGCAAATTCCCAATCATGTGTTTACCCGATGGTGAGCTCTCCAATCCTGCCTTTGGGACAGACTCCATCATCTTGTCCACCAAGCCACCAGCCTGAGGATAGAGTGCATCTCGGATGTTCTTCACGTTCTGCCGGTTTTCCTCAGAGAGACTTCCAAGGCACATGGGGGATCGCAAAGTCCTCTTTGTGGGAGTGAGTTTTATTAGTTAGGGTGCTTTCTGAAGCTGAAACAATTTGTTCCAATATATGATCTAGATAATTAATTCTAGATCCAGTTAGTTAAAATCTTGTCTCAACCGGCCCCACAATCCAAAAATATTGGTGGTTCTGACTTTGAACTTGCTTTAATTAAAGCACTAGAAATTTGCTATTGGAATTCGGGGACCAGGTCTTGTAATTTGATTGTCGTCCCAATGCATGCAGGAATCCAAATTTACTGTTGCATCCGGGGCACCACCCAGGATGCATGGATTGATGCAATAGCTTTTCCATACCCTTTCGGATACACTTGAGATGCTCGTAGCTGAAGGGGATTGCCAGACCTGAGACACGAAAAAAAACAATTCTCCACCATACGCAGTCTTTATTTTCCATTATTTGTATGAGAAACATGGTTCCCTTTATTTTGCTGGTGAATGCAATCTTCAGGAAAGAATTCTATGGAACAAAAGGCTGCTCTGGGTTAGCCAAGGTATTTGCAGGGACTTCTGACAATGCCTGTGATAGACCTGAGTTTGGCACACTCTACGGTTCCCTTGTTGATCAACGTATCTCCGGACTGTAGCCTTCTTCGCTTTGTTCTTTTCGATACGCTTTCTAACCTTCTTTGTGATCTTGATATGAAGCCGGTAGGACCAAGTTCTTGGTACAGCTGACCCAGGTCTGAAATACTACAGGAAACCAAAAAGTTCACAAAATTGAAGACCCCAAAACTGGATTTGGATGCCCAGAATGTTTTTGTTTATTATTTTATAAGATGTTTTAAGAATTTGGGGTCTCCAATTTCTGATGCATGTAACACAAACTGATTTAACTTGCATTCCTGGGTCCCAAGCGCATTTCCAAAAACCACAGTTGGCTTCAAATTGGCATGTCCATAGCTGCCCATGTGACTTAGCTCACCGACGACAAACCCAAAAAGAAGTATATATGTGATTTGTGATCATGCTTTGTGAAATCAACTCATGCGTTCCTGATAAACTGGGTTGCTCACAATCTGGTCACCAGCCATGGCCAGACGAGCGATACAATTTTCTGAAGCCAAACTAGATAGGGGAAAGCCAGCATCAAAGAAGAGGATGGTTGCTCTACCAGAAACACCGCGCATCGCACGAAGGCCAGCAGAAGAAGAAGGCACAATCGGCATGTGATCCTTGGCAGGATTTGGCTGGGCAATGCAGGACAAAAAGGCCAAGGTCAAGAACCAGGTCACCAATGTTTCTTCCCCATTCCATCAAGTTTCATCAAACCCCCTGCCAAATTTCCAGATAAGTGAAATGTTGAAACCAAAGTTAGTAGGGAATCTCTTGGATGCATGGCTGAAGGACTCTGCGCTGGCAGTAATACCCACGATAAAAAATATAATGGATCATCATGATATCATATCATGTTTCCCTAAATGTCCTAAACTTTCCAAAACTATCATGCCACAAGGGGCCCAGAAACCAAGACAAGGGGCCGATTGGCCCTTTTTACATAGGCCCAGGGCCCCCCGAACGGCCTCGTTTTTGATCGTAGGGATGTACCCAGATTCAAATAGATAAAGGAGCCACATGGCGGCCCGGCCGTAGCCAGGCCGCCCTCGCGCAATCGAAGGATACTTTGGATACTGGCTAAAAATCCTTCCCTTAGGGGCCAGAACATGTAATCAGTCATGACCAGGGTATGGCTTCCCAACTGAGGTAGATGGTGCAAATCCATTGCCTCCAATATCAAAGGCCCAGTGTCACATATCAATGGTAAATTTAAATATAGTTCATCAGGATTTGCACCATCTATGTTGAAGATCTTGTAAGCAAACTCATATGGATTCCTAAGGGGCCAGCACTTCCAAGATATCTCCTGACGTCCCAGATGTCTCCACATCAAACGGTTTCCTCAGCTATTAACTTATGGATCTAATTTCCCCCAAACACAGCACTGACAATGGTGTTCATGGGTATTTGGACTCATAAGGGCGACACGACTTCATCTTCTGGTCAACTTAGTTGGGGCCGCTGTACATATACACAAGTGTTGTGCTGAACCAAATCTAGAAGGTAGTGCAGTCAGCGAATGAAATCAGGTTCTGACCAAATGCAGAATTAATAGCACCTTTTCCTGAAAAGAGATCCACATTGTGCAAATCCTTGGCTTTTCCAAAATGCCCATGGGAAAAATAAATTTCAGGGTGAAGATAGGAATACAGATCATATATCAGAAGATGAACTAAGTTGACGGCTCTGGTTGCCTTGCTGGCTGGTGTATTCTCTACCACGTAGTCGGTGCAATGAAGACTCAGCACAGTGGCAAACACTAACAGCATTCCAAATGTAGTGTTGTTTATCAAGATGGACCCTCCAAAAATAGTGATGCACCTGCCATTGATTAATTGCCAAGCCGAGGAACAATACCACTGGTGCTCCAAGGAGCAAAAGCAATCGAGCAGCTTTGGCCGACAAGGCCAGTGGGCTTGCCGGTGACCGGGTTGGCCGGGGCATTGGTGCAACCCTGTCAGCATTTAACTATGATACCAAAATGCTGCATAGATAACTCACAAGTTCAACATGTGCAGTCAAGTTGACAAAGTTTTGAACACAATTGAATAACAGTCATTGTGCAAACCTTCTGGTATGAACAAGGTTGGCCAATGTTGACCAATTCTTTTTCAAGCTGCAGTCCACCCCATAGGACAGTTGAACTACTTGTGTGGAAACACACATGCACACACGGCGCTGTAGCTAGCCAGGGGTTCCTTCCCATCAACGGAAAAATCTTTGGAGGATCATTTAAGATCATTTGATCAATGCTATAATAATATAAACCATGAAACAATTGTTTGTGCCACATTGAAGGACCACTTAATGAAGCATGCCCCCCTATGCTAGCCACTGAGCAACAAAAAGATTGAGACATCTATTTGCTAGAATCAAGATCTACGATTTCAGTCTTCCAAATCAGATTGTGACTTGCTATCTTCCGCATCAGACTCCAACACATCCTTGATTTCGGTCCACCCGGCCAATGCTGTAGCCAAAGACCACCTCGGCCAAATCAACTAAATCAACTTGGTAAAAAATTAGGAAGTCATAGGGCGACAATTTCAATGTGTTGTGTTCAAAATTTCATGGAGCAACAATTTTTACCGCAATTCCATCATAGGATAAGCACCTGGCCCAAAGAAGGGACCATATTTCCCCCAAGAAACACTGACACCTCGCCGCACATTTGCCTTAGATTGAGCACTGGGGCTCCCAGTACTCAAGTTATGCTAGCAGATGTTTCAGGCGGATTTTGGTGAATTTGAGACCAGGTGCGTTAAGAGCAGGTTGCGGATTCATATTCTCATTCACTAACTCGATCCGCTCTTTGGGCACTCTGGATGCAAAAAAACCACGGGTGTCAAGCCTTAGTTAGATGTTAGATGTCCCACTGCCCCAAGCAAAGAAATAAAACATCATCCATGTTCCAATGATGGTTTCCATTGCTAACCATAAGAATTGGGGGCCAAGCAAGACTCCAATGGTCCCTGGCTCTTCGACAGGCGCTGGTCCAAGATGATCAGGCCGAGTCAATGTGAAGGACCTGAGTGCTGGCGCTGGGGCTGGATGACCTTCCCTACATGGAAACCGAAGGAGATTACATGAGATATGATATTAATACTGGGGGCCATGCTTATGGGGATAGGTCCATGTCTGAGTGTCCTGGAAGGTGTCCACAGCGGTTTGAAGGTCATCAGGGACCAAAAACATAGGCTCTTCGTTCTTCAAGCGCATCAAGATACTGCAGCTGGTAGCCTTCAGCGCTGACACCCAAAGGTTCACCAGAAATGGGTCGTAAGATATCTGGATACATGTTTGCCCTCGAATGCCTTATATACTGCATCCGCAACGAATATAGTAAATAATAGATCTTCATCATTCATTGTGGGTGATTCATGATTGCTTTTTGTTTGTGCATACCATACTACACACTGTAAATGAGCTCCAGTTTGCAAAAGTTTCGTGGGTGATTTTGATAAGTGGCAAGGTCTGTGGTGTCCAACGGTTTCTTTACTCGCTTGGGTTTTTTCTCATCACGCTTCTGAGCCATTCGCTCAAAATCTGCTGCCAAGTTCTTTGCTACTCGATCTCCATTCTTCTTCTCCATCATCCTCCTTGAAGCACTGGCTGCCAACTTCAAGGGACTTTGCTTGCTTCTAGACTTTGGGCTTTCACCTTCCTTCTTTGCTTTCCTGGGATTGGCTGGTTGGCTCTTTGCTTCTGGCTTCTCAGAAACCATCTCTGCATTTGTAGCGCTTTTGTCTTCAACTGGGGTCGGTGGGTAGAGGTCTGGGTCACCCAGCTGGTTGTCAGGCTTCTCAGGTGAGAAATCCTCATCATCCGCAATTTCATGAACCTCTTGGCGGATCTCTGCCTCCTTTGGTCTCTTTGTCTTCGTTCCATCGATCTTCTCGGTGGTGATGGCATGTTTCCGTTTCTTCTCCTCAGCCTTCTGAATCGTCTCTGCCTTCTTGGATTTCTTTGTGCCTGCAATCTTCGTTTTTTCATCCTGGTCTCTTCCTTCATCAGCCTTCTCCATCTTCTCTGCCTCCTTGGATTGCTTTGTGTCTGCAATCTTCGTTTTTTTCATCCTGGTCTCTTCCTTCATCAGCCTTCTCCGTCTTCCCTGCCTCCTTGGATTTCTTGGTGCCTGCGATCTTCGTTTGTTGATCTTGGTCTCTTCCTTCATCAGCCTTCTCCGTCTTCCCTGCCTCCTTGGATTTCTTGGTGCCTGCGATCTTCGTTTGTTCATCTTGGTCTCTTCCTTCATCAGCCTTCTCCTTCTTCCTCTTTTTCTCCTGGCTTTCCTCCTGAGTGTTCTTGATTTCCTCTTCTTCAATCTTCTTCATCCTCCTGGGGGCCTTTTTCATCGGTTCAACCTTGTCTCTCTCCTGCTCTTCTGCCTCTTGGCCGCCCTTTGCTTTGTCACACTTCTTTTCTGCAGTCTTGCTTGTCTGGTTCTCGGTGTCCCTCTTGACTGCAAGCTCCTTTTTCTCAGTGCCTGTCTTCTCTTCTGCCTTCTTTGTCTTTCTTGTAGCAGCCTTCTTCTCTGCGGTCTCCTTTGTCTTGCCCTTCTCTTCCTGCTCTTTCTGCTTCTGTTTGTATGCTCTTGTATCTTTCTTGTCAACAGACTTCTCATCTTCTTCACTTTTCCTTTCAGGCTCATCTGGGGCGTGTTCATCATCTTCATCAGATTTGCGGCTCTTTCTGGACCTCTTGTCAGGCTTCTCTGTGTCAGAGTCTGCTTCTCTCTTTCCTCGCCCTCTACCTCTTCCTCCTCTTCCTCGTGGGCGTCCTCTTCCACGTCCTTTGTTTCTCCTCCGCTCATCTGATTCCTCGTCCAGCTCTCTCAGCCTGCGGTCATCATCTTCACCTTCTGAATCCTCACCCTCCTCTGCTTCTTTCACAGCTTGGCGCATTTTGCGTTGTGCCCGGACGATGTCGTCATTTGTTGTGTTGGAAGTCTTCTTGACCAACTCACCTGCTGCGGCTGCCTTCTCCTCCAGCTCCTTGGATGCAAACTGCTCCTGAGCAATTGGGCCCTTTGTGTCACTGAAGGCTGCTGCCTTTTCATCGTCTTCTTCATCTGTATCCATCATGGTCTCACCTTGCTCACTTTTCTTTTGGTCTTGGCTCTCTGGCTCCTGAACCTCTTCAGCCTTATCGGTCTCCTCAACCACTTTAGCCGTGTCGGGCTTCTCAACTTCTTGGGGCTCCTCAACTTCTTGGGGCTCCTCAACTTCTTTGGGCTCCTCAACTTCTTCGGGATCTTCGGAATCTGATAATTCCTCTTCTGCTCCTTTCTCTGACTCACTTTCTTCATGGTCCTCTAGATCCTCTTGGCTTCCTTCATCATCCGGGTACTTCTCATCTTCCTCTAGGCTACCTTCAAAAAGGTCTTGAGTATCAGGCAAGTAGACAAGGGTCTCCATGTTGTCAATCGTCTCTGACTTTTTGCCACCTTCATCTTTGCCTTCGCTTTCTTTGCTGGCTGCCTTTTCTTGCTGTCGTTTCTCCTGGAAAAAGCGCCAGCATGGGGCTGGGCATAGGCCAGGACAAGCTAGAAGGAAATAACAAAATGAAGGAGTCAATTGGTTTCAAATCTCCGGGGGATAATGGAGAAAGAGAGAGAGAGAGAGAGAGATTGGTTTCAAAATGATTTTGCGAACGGGCTCCTTCTTTGCTTTTGGTCCCCTAGATGCCTTTTTCTTCCCAGAATGGGTCAGTAACCCACAGGCCTAGCCACATAGGAGTTGGCAGTTAGATCAAGTCAATGTGCAGGTTGACATTTGGAAAAAAGGATCAGCAACTGTATCGAAAATAATTTCAACATTTTAGTTTTAGTTGCAACAAACTGTGTTGATGTCAAACGCCTAGCCTTCAACTTTGCATGGATGATGTTTTTGATCTTCGACATGCCTTCCCTTCCAGCCCTGAGTTGGTGATGGTTAAAAACAATATTACTTGGGGGATCTTGGGGGAAAACATTCAGCCAAAATCATTGTGTCATATGCAGAACTTGAGGAAAGGCACCGGGATTTTGAGGTTCTCTGAAAGCGCAGCATGCAGTAGGAGGCGAGTGCATGTTGTACACCAGATTCGACACTAGCCCAAGCCTTGCCACACTGACAAAATTTAATGGATCGAGAATTTCCATAAACAAATCTGAGGGAACATGTCCGCAAATCAACACAGTCCAACCCCTCCCATCCCATTTGCGTTTTTTTTGTGACAAGACACTCGGTGATCAGCTTCCGAGGAAAACTGTGGGTTCAGGCAATAAGTCATGCTTGCCCAGGTCAACGCTTCCTGGACAAGGCTAGCATACTATCATACAATATATTATACATACAGTATTTATAATAACCAAGGTAGTCCATACTGGTTGCTACATGTTGCTACCCTGCAATTTCCCCAGTTTACTCCCAAACCTCTGGACATATTCGGGGTCCTCCATCTCGCTGTCATTTGGAAGCTTCCCACAGAATTGGGCCAGGAACTCGCACAAGAACTGCTGGTTTGCCTGAGAACGTTGTACCTGGCAAAGGACCGATGATGTAATAGGATCACCTTATTCAAGGAATCTTACAATGTAGGTCCCCCCTGGTCTATCTAGAAGCGTGTGGAATATGATCAATTTGTATCACACAGTTGCAGCTTATGACCCTGTTAGTTTATAACCATATAATACATAACCATACCCGTTAATACTCGACATCCCCTTGAAACCATGGTTTAGACGGGGTCTATCTCTTTTTGGGACCACTTACAGGGTGCTGAATATTATGGTGATGGGATAGCAATGATAAACCACACACACAGTGTAAACAGAATCATTGAACCAAAAAATGAGATCCCAAAAGCCTCGATCTCTTGGATGGTAGAACCCTTGCAAAGGCGGTCCACAAACGACCAAGGCGGAACCTTAGATGATGTGTGCATGAGTGTGCATGTGTGTATGCATGCATGTCATGCGCAGAAAAGTCACCCAACAGAGTCACTTTAGTAATTGATTGTATTGTATGGCTGCCAAGCCACCCGGGAGTCCTTTTCTCGCATCCCAAGCGGTTGCCTAAGAACACCTCTCCGGTCTGGGATGTAGTTCTTCTGGTCAAGTAGGCCCTTATAGAACTCCTGGGCCGTTGGTTCCACTTAGGACCCCATCGTATATCATGCAACCATCCCTAAGCCCCTTAGCAAATAGAGATGATGAACTTTCATCAAATTGGTATAGGTGTGCTTTTCTGTATTTTGTGGGCGCCTGCATGTCCCACCTCATTGAAACTTATTGAGCACCCCAAAGGAATCAATGATTGTATAATACAGGGCCATAAAATATTGGGCAAATAAACAGGACTCCACAAAATTTACAAGTTGTATTTGATGGATTTTGAAGGCTGGCATTTTAATTTTCATAATTTAGACACTTGGTATTTGGAGGTGGGTTGCAGCTAAAGCTCCTGCAGGAGCAGTATGCGATCTTCAGCGGAAGACACAGCCGCCATTGGCCGGAAAAAAACCGCAAGCAGCGGCCAAGACACCCTTGGATGCCTCCTTGAACCTCATAAGTTACAGTAGTAATAATCATACGTTCTGAAGGCCCCCATGACAGTTTCACCCGGTCGGTAGGATTGAGATTTTGTAGGAAGTGCCCATCAATAAAAAATACATGGACAAACATCCCCTAATTCCAGCACAGGCTGGGGCGGTTGGCACCTGGATGAGCGGGTTGGGGGTCTTGTAGGTTGATATCGGAAGCATGTCCTGGGCGAAACTTTTTTGGAAGCTGGACTAATACCCACTTTGTAATTAACATTCCAAGCTGGCACATGTTGTTGGTCCCAATGCAGATCAAGGGGCGGTGTAACAACGCTCGTTTGAATCTCATCCATGTGCATACAACCACCTGGGATGAAATGTAATCAAATTCCCAGATCAAACACGACACACTTGTGCATTCAATAAGGTACTAAGTGAAAACATATATGCTGCCAGAGCCACCTTAACAAAGAGGTAGCCCCCATCACAGCATCGATGCCATGATCACAGCATCGCGGCATCAAGGTGGAATCCATGTGGGTTGAATCTTGACCCCAATCTCTATATCATGCATAGTTTATATAACTATGATAATTCTTTGGACATCTAAAGGATTTTTTGGGTTACATATGATGAGTTGAAATGTATTTCAATGATATGGAAAATATTGGTTGCAACTCAGATTGAGCCATCTTCCAGCATGTGATCCATGAACCTGAAACTGTCGTTTGCTGCTAAGAACGTACTTTCCCCAAAGACTATTAAAACAACGTCCCTGGACTCCCAGGGTATATATATATACATAATATATATATATATATTATACATAAATGCATATATGAATATATATATATATATATATTATGCGATTTTTATTGGTTTGTGAAAAGAAACAAACAAAACATATGGATACATATGGCCAGAATCAATTTGGGTTGAAGATCTTCATCTATGCGCTGCTTGTGAAATTTGAAGAACATCTCGATGCCCGCCACATGACCTGGAGGATACCTCGACAAGAGCCGCTTTCCACGTCTGAAGCTGAACGCGTGCGTATCGAGCTTGTCGGGCTTTTCGACCATTGGAACCTGCTTCAAAACTGAAACACAAACAGAAAAACGATGAAATTCTGAAAATCTCAAAGAAATTTACGGGTGCATGGTCCAAACACGTTGATGAGTTGAAAATCATAAATCAAAAGATATCAAAAGCACTGTCCGGCAACAATCTTCACCAAGGAAAGGGCACCTTTGAAAATGAAACACATCGCTCTGGACATATTGGGCAGTTCGTCCGAGAGGTTCCTGCCCGGAGGCTCATCGAGTCGCACCTCGCAGAACTGCCGAAGTTGCTTCAGGACCCCTGCGGGTAAGTCATTCATCCTCTCAAAGGCATTCTCCGACAAGCGAGGCATCTCGTTGCGGATCACTGCCCGATATTCACGCATGTATGGTTCAAGAGGTAGGGTAGGAACAGCGACATCGTAGCTGAAGTTCTGGACCACATACTCATTGCAATAGTCCAAGCAATCCGTCTCATGAAAAAATGCATCTGGGTGTTCAACCTGGGTACTTGGAAGTCCAGCAGGTTTTACTCCTTGAACCCTCCATCCCAAGGTTTCAATCCTCTTCAACAGGTCCTCTGAGGGTCGTCGGACCGCACCAGCTGCAGTCAAGGTCCCAAAGACCTGCTCATTCATTCCTGGGCCAAAAAAAAACAGCTCCGTGAAATCAGCAGATCGTGGGGAGACTACGTCAATCGTGGGGCAAAACATAATTCACCAACACACACACACATATATATATATATAAACATTATATTATAATATATATATACATATAATTATATATATATGTGTGTGTGTGCGTGTGTTGGAATGGAGGTATGTGTAAATAAATATGTGTATATAATTATATATATATAGTCATAGTATTACTGATTACTGTTTTCCAAACAAAACCAAACAATATCAAACTGATTATAATCTAGTCATACTTCTACACGAATGTTGGATCCTTCAAGATTTTATAAGCACCTGATAAGCACCACCGAGGTTCTGCAGTGAATCACGTGGCACCCGAATTTAGTCATTTTATCTTGTGCCAGCTTGATGTTCTCCGCCGCTGAGGGGTCTATGAAAGGCACCCGGCCATAGCTTAAAATCACAAACTCGATCCTGGAATCTGCAGCTGCAGCTTCCAAGTTGGCGGTCAACTGCAACATGGATCCGAAGAAAAGCTGGCCCTGCAAGTAGAGAAGTCGTATCCGATCTCCCTCTGCAGCGAGCACATTCATCTCCCACCAGGGCCGCTTGGTCCGGCTCACCACATTCTGTCCGTCCACCACGCTGCTGAGGGGGGAGGTAGTCATCCCGTCGAGGACAAACAACAAGATGCTCAAGCAAAGCCCCGCCATGATGGAAGTCGTGGGACTGAAGTATAGGGCCATCACCACGCAACAGGTTGAAATACCATATTGGGGTGACACTAAATGCAAGCCTCTCCAGTTGAAAGTGGTCAAGGTCTGATAGGACAAGAGTGTCTTCCTCAGGAAGGACCATCCGGTGTTCATGAACAAACCGCCCAGGAACCACTTGGGAACGTAGGCACCAATGGGACACCCGAAGACAAACAAGTTCCCGGCCACCAGGGCGATGGTCAGCACAGCCACCCGGTGAGTACCACCATCCTCCCTCAGCTGGATCACAGAGAATTTGTGAAAGACCAAATTCCCACCAGTGCAGCCCAAGAAAAGGGAGGCAGCACCCACCGTAATCAGTTCCGCATTGAAATCCAAAGGATCATCGGGCTGTGGATCACCACTGGGTCCCGTCGGATACCTCCCAGTGATCGCCAGTGCGCCCAGCATGGTGCAGAGGATTGCCATGGCCACTAATGCCACGATATCCATGGAAAACAGCACCTTGCGTACCACTTCAAAATCCACTTCAGCAAAACTGTAGGAGGTCCAGATGGTCAGGGGTCCACTGCTTCCTTTCTTGGGATAAGTCCATCCATGAGCTGCAAGATCCTCCATCTGCAGGCCCGCACCAAAGACCACACTGTAAAAGATGAACAACGGAGCCAGCTGGCACACCAAGCCAGCATACTTCTTCACCGCATCTTTGCGATTGGGATACTTGCCAGTGCGCAGTAGCACGTGGCAAAGGTCAGGGCCTTTTTGGATGCAAATGAAGTGTAGCAACATGCAACCCACCTGCAGCAAGCGGTCCTGGGACTCACAAAATGCACTCAAGCCAATGTCTGGCCAGAAATGGTGAAAGGGCACCCCTGAAGATGTCTTGAGAGCTGCCTGCAAAACAACTACTCCAATGGCACCCAAAAAACCACTGACCACCGGCTTGGGGATCATCAACATCGAGGTGGCCCAGGCCAATTTCCCGACTACAATGCTCACCAGGCCAGTCAGCATGGAACTGAAGCAGATGATGGCGAAGACGGTGGCGGGGATCTTCTCAACGTCTTTCCGCAAAAGCATTGCCGCCTTGGAAGCCAACTGCGCTTGCAAGATACAGATGAGGTCCTGCTGTGTGCCATATCCATATTGCAGTCGCCCAAAAACGGCATACCAAAGGACCCCAACGCTCATGGTGTACAGCGTCATGCTGATGCCAAACTGCAACATGGAGGAGATCTCCACGTTGGTCGAGGAGGAGAAGAGCAACGAGGCCGAAACGATGCCACCCAGCGACTCTCGGACCCCCATGATGAGCCCCGCAGCGACATTCACACCCAAGGCGCCCCAGTCGATCCCCTTATCACGACCAGAGGTCAGGGGAACACATTCCTGAGAAAAGCTTGAGGGAGGGCCAAGAGTTAACCAAATGTTAGACCAGTAGAGATTAGAATACAACTGAATATAAATGAAATATGTATATGTGACAGTATAAGATTGTATAAGCTAACAGTTGCAAGATAAATGCCAGATCCTCGAAGAGAATTCCAGGGCACGAAGATGAGGATGGCAACGAGGTTCAGCATAAAATGAAGATGACAATGAAACGATTATGAGGAAGATGATGAATAAGGAACCGATGATGACGATGCTGATGATAATGACGAGGAGGAAAAAGATGTGGATGATGCGGAGCACACCGACCAACGCTGGCAAGGATGGCAAGGATGGCAACGATGGCAAGGAGGATGAGGATGACATGGTTGATAATAGACTGCAAGGATGATACGGACACTGGCAAAGAAGGTGAAAAGAAGTTTAGTTGCTGGCATAGATGCCGGTGACAGGGAAGCTCATTCACGACTGACGGCTCCACTGTTGATATTGCGGAGCCGTGCTCGGAGCATGGTGCAGGCGGGGATGGTGCAGTGATGCAAAGGTCTTCCAGATGTTAACGGTGATGATAAAGATGATGGTGAACAGGAAAATGAGCAAGATGATGAAGATAGAGATTATAAGTATAGTGATGATCACTGTCAAAAGCAACATGTTGCGCATGTGGCAGTGGGTCATGCAAATGCGACGATACTGACGGCGACAATGACAATGACGACGGTGCCCTACTGACGACGACCAATGACACTAGTACATGATCATATACTGTATAGATCTATACTGTATATTGTGTGTGTCTATATTATGTACAATAATATACAATATATATATATATATGTATATATGTGCGTGTGATCATGTATCGCTATGGCATGCTATGGGCATATTGGTTATGGAGACAATGATGATGACACGATGATGAGGGTGAGGGTGGAGCATGGACCTGGCTCTGGCTGAGCCGACTAAAACCAACCCTTCTTCCGTTCAGCAAATGTAATGATACCAGGTATCTAATAGCACTTCCAAAATGATACGGCCTTAAAACTATGACAGACTGACAAACAACTTGTTGAAAAACACCAAAAATAGGAAGAAAAAAAAAAACAGTATCACAAAAAATAACAGAATACATCTTCAACATCCCCAGTTTCAGACCACAAAGGCCAGAAACATCCCAGTGGATCCAAGCGTGGCTTCTTCCGTGCAGCGGCGCTGCTGCTCCGGGCCGTGGGACTCGTAGGCATCAGCGGCTGCCGCCCCAAGTCATAGGATGCGCCACGGGTCACCTCGAGGTCAAGGTCAAGGTCCAACGTCGGAGGCTTCGCCATGGCCGCAACGGGAGGGAAAAATCCAATTTTGGAGCTGAAAATCATGGGATGATGACTAATTATTGGATGGTTTTTTTGTTCGGCTGAAATGATGGGATTTTTGGATCTACATTTGCTATTTCTGGAAGTTGGGACGAATAGTCACTATATGTCACTATTCACGATCATATTTATATAGATTGAGATCTGTGAATGGGAAAGCGTTTTTAAATGCGTGAAAGCACTTCGGCTTTCAGGTGACATTTTGTAGGAATCCCAGACTGCTTTCATGGATCCAACGGTTTTTTCATGATGCTGCGGCCTGGTGGCTTGCACATTGGCAATCTGGCAATGGAACGTCGTCTATTCACATCTATTGACAGTTCTATTAGTTGAAGGACAAAGTTTTAGTATAGTTCTCCAAATGTTCCCATCAAAATGCTGGTTTCCTGCCATCTTTGATCATCTTTGATTACCTGAGGCTCTCCAAAAGCGTTCAACCTCGGCTTTCGACGGTCAGGTTCGCGCGAAGAAACCAGATAGATCTGGCTCACCTGGGCTGCGAGCATTCGGATCCGTCCAAAAAATGGAGGTGTCAAAATTCATTCTTTTGCCCAAAGTTGTGGCAGTTGTCATAGGCAAAATATATGTATATTATTTATATCAAATATGGATAAATATGGCAAAAATGAAGAACCACGGATCATACACCATAGAATTTTGAGGTTCAAACTCTGAGACAACCCCAGTTGCTGTGTGGCAAATGGCCATCTGGTCACCATCGACCTGCCATCCACATCCTAAGGGACCCCCACTCCATGCTGTACCAGCTCATCCCGAATGTTCTTCAGGGTCACTGCCTTCGCAGGTGATCTTGGGCCAAACTGGGATCCCCACAGCAACAGAATAGTGTGGGATGTTGATATTTACCATCTGGTTATTTAACATAGCCATGGAAAATGGCCCATTTATAGATGGTTTACCTATTAAAAATTGTGATTTTCCATGGCTATGTTAAATAACCAGATGGTAAAGGAACTGTAAGGGGGATGTGCCTGCACCATTCAGAAAACATGGGAAAGCCGGTAAAAAAAACCCTGGGAAAATCAGGAAATCCGGTTCCAACATGTTCCAAGCCCCGCCTCCTCGAGCTTGTTGTCCTCCTTGTTGTTCCAAATGTCAAGGTCAATCTTCGTTCTGACCTCAGCTGTGCCCCACCGGATCATCGGATCATCCGATCCAGCTCTGAAGTGCTGGGGTCCCATAGGTCCCATAGGTCCCATAGGTCCCATAGGTCCCATAGGTCCCATACCATGAAGTACGGCACTGTGTACCTCTCAAGTTCCTGGGCAAAGTCCATTGGATGTCATTGGATCATGAAATTTATCAAGCCCTCTGGCCCTCTGAATTGGTCAGGTCACCCGTGTAGATCTGTGTAGTATCAACATTCCATGAATTATCATCTATATGAAATCATTAATCGATCGATATCTATAATTATATATATATATATACCCTTCTTGGTAAATTCACGGTAGACCCTGAAAATCTCTAATTTCTAGTGGAATCTCATCTTCCAGACCCCTGGCGGGGTCTATAGGTTGCCCCAGCACAGCAGCTCCTCTCGCAACATCACCTCTGTCGAGGTGAAGCGGTTTGCAGTCACAATCCTCGCTGTGTCCATGAAGAAATGGCTCTTTAAGTGGAACCTATGGTCTGTTTATCAACTATTATAGTTTAATCAACATAAATCAACATGTTTAGTATATAGTTGATAATAGTTATGAATAGATTTCATCCATTCATTGCTATTTTAATATTTTTCTTGGCTAGCTATAAAATTAATTGATATTAGTAGATTAGATGATAGCTATTCAGCTATGTGTCATCAATCTTTTGGATTCATAGCATTTCAGTCGCTGGGAAACATCGATGCGCGCTCAATAGATAAACATCGATAAAAACATCGATGAAAACTTTGCATTTATTTAACGATGCATGTATGGATACATGCACATGTATACTGTACACATATATATATAATATATATATATATACATATTATGTATTCATATTCGCAACGATGCATATATGTATGTGTTAAGTGCATAAATCATCATAAATCATGATATCATATCATATCGCCAGCCGCTGGCAGATCTCTAGTCCCGCACTGCACATTCTGCCGAGGATCAGCACAGAATCAAAGTGCCGCAAGCCCATGTCGCGCAAATAGTTCTCCTGTCAGGTGGCGATGGTTTCCAGCAGCATGTTCCAACCCCAAAAAAGACCAAAATGTCTCTGGTTTTCGTAAAAAACATTAAAAAACAAAAAGGTCCTTTGGGAAGCCGGGGGTTCCAGCTCCGGGAAGGTCCCACCTTGGGCACCGGTTTCAGGGCTGGTTGCTGCCCCCTAGGCATGGGCCTGCCATGGAAGGGGAACCAAAGGACCCAAGCACAGCATAGGCCCCGACAGTCTCACTTTGTCGATGCCAGGGAAGGTGTACATCATGGGTCCTGAGATGATTCCCCTTCAATTTGGTGGGTCAAGACCCATGGCATGTTGCTGATGAACTCTTTATTTTTTCTGGGATTTATGGATGTTCATCCCATTTCATCCCATTTCATCCCCAAATTTCTGGAAACATGTGGAAAAACATTAGTTTTGATCATCCAACCAAAGCCTTGACCCCAAGTGACAGCTTCCAGGGCCCCCGGACGCAGCGTGGTTTCTTTGACCCCTGTGGGCGCCCACTCAGCAGCGCCGGGCTTCAAGCGCCGCATCTTGTTGATGAGAAGAGACTTTCCCACCTGAAGCGCCAATACTTGAATTTTCCTTTTATATATATAATTATATATATAATTTATATTTAATTATTATTTATATATATGTATGTATGTATTTATTTATTAATGTATTTATTTATTTATTTATTCATTTATTTATTTATTTATGTATATTATATGTATGTGTAATGTATAAATATATATATATATACATACTGACATACATACATATTATGCATATATATATATATATATATACGGTTACGGTATATACGGTATTCTACATAGAGATAGAGATACATAGGATAGCCTACAACCAAAAAGAAAAAAGGATACTGGATGAGGAACGGAGGATGACCAGGGCTCAGGCGCCCGAATTGCCCACCACCGCCACATTCCTCAGGTTCATCGGACCATCTCTGAAAACGGTCCAAATGTCGCCCACATGTCTCCAAGATTCCAAGATTCATCAAAATTCAAGCCATGAATGGTCATGAATGTAACTTTGATGAGCTTTGATGTTACTATCCATATAATTTTGCCAAAATGGCTAGCTTCCAGTGCTAAACATTAGCAATTGTGTGGTTCCAATTGGGGCATGAGATGTCTTGTGTTTAAACCAAGCGTCATCGTTCCTTCAGAGTTCGTGAGCCAAGATGGGACCGGATAGTCCCTGGCACACGAGTGTTGGCACGTCAGTAGGGAGTTCAAATAGATCGGACTTCAGCAATCGTCATCAATCTTCAACAAAAAATCTGGCCAATGCGGTACAATCATGTGGCAAACTCAAATTATAAACCATCCCCAAGTGACCATAAATGTGGCAAACTCAATCATAAACCATCCCCAAGACACCATAAATGTGGCAAACTCAATCATAAACCATCCCCAAGTCACCATAAATGGGGTGATATGAAGTTTAAACCATCCCATTTCTGGTATGTCATTGGGTTACCCATATTAATAATCATCTTATGATAAGATCAATCAGCTCCTGGTGTGGAGACTCTCACCCATGGCATCCCATGGCTGGAAGAGTTCGCCGGGGATCAATGCTCAATCTGTTTCAAATCTGGAAAATGAAAGCCACTAATAGTATCTACACATAGTCACCAGTTGACTCCAGTTGACCATATCATATCATATCCATCCTTATATACAGTAATATATATTAATATCATCCATGCTCTAAGATTAGGTTTCACTAAGCATTTCTTCACCAAATCATCCATGGTTTAACCAGCCATAAGGCAACTGGCCCCATCCTATCCATGGGCTTCTCGGGCTTCACTTCCAAGGCTTCGAGTTGCGCCTGGCAAGGGAGAGATTAGTGTCACCGTGACCTCGACGCTGTACATATTTTTACATGTAATATATATATATATACATACAGTATATATATATACAGTATGTGTGTGTGTACACCGTTATAACAAACGGTTTTAGTTCTTGTCATCGATCTTGTACTATTCCAAAAAAAAAACAGGGGGCAGAGGTACCCATGTCACTTCCTCTGCCAACGAAGCTGGGTGACATGTGGTAAGGATATAGATCAGGGACGCCTGATCTACGTACCTGCTATAGTTTCAACTGTTGACTTTCTGTTCTTGTTTATGAGCTGTGCGTTGTTTCTTCGATCGTGAATCTGTGTCCGCTGAAATTCTACTGCCAGGCAACTCAGGAAATCAGGCGAAGACTATGACATCCTTCACACTTTTTACTGGCCATTACCCCACAGTGTGTCCTGGGTGTTTGACCTAACTTGGTCGCACCGTCGGTTGGTTTCGACCAATCAAAAAGTCATGAGCGGGCATTTTCCCGTATTCCGAGTGGAGTATGAATCTCCGAAGCCGTATGCACTTCGAGTGCATTTCAAGCCATGTTTTGATGTTTTCGAGCCATGTTTCCTAAGAGTCGTGGTCCACCCTTGCCGTCTTCTGAAGCTTTTTCTACTGGACAGATCCCATTTCGATCTACACCTTTGCCTCCTCCTCCTCCTCATCATCCTGTTGCAAATGTCCAGAATATTCAAGAGAGAGGATCATCAGCTTTTCCAAAAACATCGGGGGTATCGCTGAACATTGTCGGACGACTTGGACAATACCGCATAGAAGCTGCTACATCTGATCAGCTAGTTCCTATTATGGGTCAGATTTTCGATGCTGAACGACAGGCTGAAATGCAACAAAATATGTGGAATTTTCAACAAATGATGATGACGATGAATCCAACGCTGATGAATTCACCATGTTCCTGTTTATCTGTGTGCCAACCATGTCGGGGTCCACAAACGGATATTTCTGGTCCGGAACCCTGCACTTTTCGGGTGGGAACTTCGTCTACGGTCGGACACTCAATTTCTGGCCCGGGACCCAATCAATGCGATCCAATGCCTACGCGGAGAAGGCAGACAGTGGACAAGCAGTCGGGGCCCTATAGTTCTCAACTATGATCGACATCGCCAACTTCTGCAGGGGCTCATTTGGGTTCTGCCGTTCGACAGCATGATTATGATGGAGTTCCTGTTCAAAGTACTTTTTCCATAATTGGAAACTTCCAGCAACTTTGATCTCCTTTTACATTGCTGGGGAAACAATTTTGGAAGTTCCTCATCCAATGTTTTCTCAACTGTTTGTGCATCCTGTCGTAGCCAGTTTTTCTTGCACTACTTTGGAAGAGAACATGGCCACCCCGACAGATACGGATTGGACTCAGGTTTACACGTTGATGTTAAAATGTTTAGCTAAAGATCTTCATGATTCGCACAACAGACTGAAGAATGCTTTGGAATTGAACCGCATTCAGGAGTATCAACAGCGATACATTCCGAATGATCGATATTTTCAAACGGCTGGATATACTCCGGACAATCGGCTGACAACAATTCCCGAATCTTTTGCAATCTTTTTGCAACAGACATTGAGTCAACAAATTGAAATGACAACACCTTTGCGTCAATTATGCGTGCACCTTGGTTGTGCGATTTGTTCCCATAGTTCCGTTGCTGAACATTTCCAGGACGTGTCATTGATCAGTCACAATGGGAAATTGCTGGGAATCAAATTGCATATGAATGTTCCTCAAATTGAACATGTGGACATTGATTTTAAATCCTGGTATGTTGTTTTGATGAAGCAGGAAAAATTGTTAAGCCGAAACTTGTCGGAACATCATTGGCGGTCTCAGAGCAACCAGTTTCGAGAATTTAAACTGGCTCATATTCGGGATTTGGTAAAATTCTTACTTCAGAACTCGTTCTTCCACGTCGGGACCCAAGTTATTCGTCAACATCGTGGTGCGTCTACACCTTTGCCTCCCCCTCCTCCTCATCATCATCCATGTTGCAAATGTTCAGAATACTCAAGAGAGAGGATCATCATCTTTTCCAAAAACATCGGGGGGATTTATTGAACATTGCTGGACGATTTGGACACTACCGCATAGAAGCTGCTACATCTGATCAGCTAGTTCCTATTATGGGTCAGATTTTCGATGCTGAACGACAGGCTGAAATGCAACAAAGCATGTGGAACAGGGTTGTCCAAATGACCCTCTTGAAAATCAAATGATGAAACCAAATTCTGAGTCCCACAAACAAAATCAAACAAACATGCTGCTTCTGACTTGCTAGACACTGCAGTGCACGGGCATGCTGCTTGTTTTCTCTGGTTGCGATCAAATCGCCCTGAGCGCACCACAGGCCACACAATCAAACCGACCGTAGTGACTCAAGGGATGTCCATAGAGAAATGAAGATGTTAAAATCGAGTTCAGCAGTTGCAACTGCATCGAACAAGAGGGTCCCCAAACCCGATATTGGGCTTGGGTGTGGGGGGTTTTCAGTTGGCTTTCCTGAGCCAACACTTCTGCCGGCCAATCAAGTCGTCATGGCCATGTTCCTACGCACATGCTGTGCTACACAACATGCTGCTTCTGACTTGCTAGACACTGCAGTGCACGGGCATGCTGCTTGTTTTCTCTGGTTGCGATCAAATCGCCCTGAGCGCACCACAGGCCACACAATCAAACCGCACTGGCCGCAATCATCCCACACTGCCGGTGCACTGGAATGTCAAATCAGAAGCAGGAAGTTGAAGTAGCAAATCATCTAAAGCAGAGCTATGTGCATATTCCAAATCATTGGCTACGCGAATTAAAATCTTCCAAAGCGGATCAAGATTAAAATGAACTCTTGTGGCCTTCAAAGCTGTCATATCAGAAAAATCGAAACGAGATACAGAATCGCTCATATTCAAGGAAGAAGGAACCCATTCAAAATGAATGTTCCAACCGAAATGACAAATAAGTCGCCAAATGAATGCCAGTAAATTGTTGATACAGGAGTCTTTTCCGTAACCTTTGAGGAGTCCGGACAAACCGGCTTGGTTGTCAATCAATGCGATGATCAAGGCAGGGAAATGATTTCGCAGCACCGCCATTGCTATCAATTGCGCAACAATTTCAAGAAAATAGATGAAAGCACGTCTCTCGCAAAATGCTCGAAGAACCCTTGGTGGCACAATACCAGCAGCGAACACTGTATGGTGGTAAATATGGCAAACGAAACCCCAACCATTTTCAAATTGATGACATCGTGATTTCGCCCAAAGCCCTGTAGGACAACAGTGACCTGCAGAGAAGGTGTGATCACCTTTTTTGAAGAAAGCATCAGTGTACAGGACTCCAGGTCGGCTTAATACCCTGGTGGAAATCAGACGTGGTTGAAGGGCATCAAAAAGCATCAACAAGGTACGAATAGCACAGTTCATCGCAACTGGCAACGCATCATGGTGAACATCCTTTGCGCCAGAATGTGCAAAAACATAAAAAGGATGAATTGCAGATTTGCCCAGCTGTCCAAACAAGCTGCTCGTGAGAAATACCAGCTTGCCAGCAATGCGTTGTGCTTCCAGGACACTCAAAAACTGTTGCGTCTGAATCTTCAGCAAAGCGTTACGAAGCTTCTCCAAGCGATCAGGGTGTGGGCTCAAAACAATATCAGAATCTCGAATGTGAACCATGACGCCTAAAATCTTCTGATGGGAACTCGGCGCAAGGGATTTCTTGTCTTTCATGTTGAGGCCAAAGCATCGGAAAACCGCGCTAAACGCATCAAAGCCGCTATGAATGGTCTGGGAATTTTCAATACCAACAAAATCGTCAACAAAATGACCCACGCAAATCTGAAAAATACGTCTAGCCAGGAAACATAAAGCATCTGCTGCCCGATTGAATCCCCAAACTGAAGAGACAGCGCCGAAACTCAGTGCATGATGTTGAAGCAGCAAAGGGCCTGAACCCAATTGAAGGATACAAAAGCCATCGCGTGGATCGCGAAGTGGAAATTGGCGATACGCACCATCCAGGTCCTGTGCCCAGGCTTGGGCTTGAATTTGCAAATCAAAATGAGCACGGATAAGTTCAACGAAAACGGAAAGATCATCATGATGTGGGGTATCGTGTACACATACTGTACTGTTCAGAAAGCTGTGCTTGAAATCTTCACAGCGTCGGATTTTGTCACTTTGTTCGACGCTAAAACAAAAAGATGCAGAAATCTCATCATCTGGCAAAGGAATATTGTAGCGATCAGGGAGCTCTGCTGTGTTGCAAGGCCACCAAGTGGGAGCCAGAAAAGGGCCTCCCATACGTCCTAGCCGAAGTTCTTCAATGAGCTCTTTTAACATGGTGTCAGCATGCTTGTCAATACGCGGATGATTCAACCTTTGCAAGATATAATGGCGATTCAGCTCTTTGAACCGTGGCATTGATAAAGGTGAGGCATATTTATCATCTGTACGTGGGGCCCATCCGCTACCTCCATGTAGTTGACCAGTCATGGCAAAACCATTACAAAGATCATCTGCTAGTTCAGGCAAACCAGGAAAACCAAATCGACCCAACAAATGCAGCAAAACCGGTATCTGTGTGATGACCTTGGTGTCAGGGTTCCAATATACTTGTTGTATATGGGGCCGCAACTTCAACCACCAATCATGGGTGTGGTCGGCCCACTCATCGACCATCGTGTGAATTTCGACAGCCAGTTCGTCACGGATGCGAACCAAGTCATGACGCCAATCAAACTGAAATTTCAAGCATTGAACAAAACCAGGTGCAATCTTGGCAGGAAAATGCAAAGGGTGATCCGCAGTGGTGGCATTGTGCCAATGATCCCAAATGTCTCGTGAAGGAGCCACACAAATTGGCTGAGTGGGCCAGAAACCTGGTCCAACATGTGCCGTTTGGACCCGCATCAACTGTTCCACCCATTGCAACGTGCTCTGTCGTGGAGGTGGTTTCAAAGTCGTGGAAGCGGAGCCTGTGACCATCGCTGCCAAGACAAACTGAAAAAGAAAGCGGGCGACGCCACAATGCCATCCATTTGCCAGAACTCGGTGGCGGCTTCGATCGTGGACTCCATCAATGGCAGTGTAGCCTTTTGGTAGCATATGCAGTTGCTCTTTGCACTCCGCAGTGGGCACCTGCATGTTGCCCTGGTCATCATGCAGTAGAGCATGCGGTTCATACTGCCATGGAGCATAGGTGCGATGATCCTCCAGCCAGCGGGTTTTGGTGTATGGGTCCAACTTCCCTTTCATTCGCTTCGGAGCCGCCCGTCCAGACGCGGAAGGCGAAGGAGTGGTCAAGCAAGGGACGCACAGCTCATGTCGTTGAACCCGGGGGTCCAGATGTTTGCCATCAAGGTCCAACGATGACGCATGCTGAAGATCGCAGTCCACATGCAGACGGGGAAATTTATGCAGCTTGGTCCAACGCAAAGGCTTGGCAGACCCTGGATATGAATTTACAGTGTGCCAATCAACGCGGCTCCACCACAGCCGAGGACGACTGATCAATCCGAAATCTGATGCATCAACTGCAACTGTCTGACAACCCAACGCGTTGGAGAAAAAATCCGCCTCACCACGATCCTGCAAAATCACGTTCTCCACCAGGTAGCCCACTCGATGGTGGGGAAGAACAGACTCAACCTCACGACACCAGGTGCAATAATGGGAAAACTTCTGTCCTTCTGGTCCTGAACGGCCAGGTGCATCAGGGCGAATCGCGCTAAAGTCTGGACACGGTGGAGCTCCAACAAACAATATCAATTTGTTGCCTTGTGGGTCGTACTCAGAGACCAGAGACACTACATCAGCAGCAGGATCAGACATGAAATCGCCTCTGGCCACTACTTGTGGAAAGTGGCGCTTTGTGATGAGCAAGCATTCGGGGTCAACCTCCCAAGCCACAAAGAGGAAAAGCGTGCCAAACATCTGTGTCAAAACATGAGCAGCCGTTGCAATACCATCAAAACAGCTCAGCAAAATGATGTCATTGCCCGAAACTGGGGAGGCCTCGGCACGTGGTTGGGATATCCTGCGTGGCAGTGGAGGGCGGTTGTCAGCAATGACAACAGGGTCGGGTGACCCACCCACCTCAAAAGGTGGGTCCCCGTGTTGTCCCTATTTGCCACTGGCGTTCCAATCAGATGGCCAAGAAGATGACGACCATCTGGCAGGAGAGCTCGCCTCAGGATGCCATGTAGATTGAGAAGGGGCCCCATTTCCATCGCGATATGGCGCCGTCCATGTCTTGTTTTGACGGGCATACGGTTGCGACCTGTATTGGCCAAACTTGGACTTGCCCCCTCCTTTGCCGGAACCTTTCTGAGGTCCAGTCTTCTCGGTATTGTTGGACTTCTTGGTCGAAGAAGATGCCTCTCGTGACATGCACTCACTGAAAATATCCAAGTCTTTCATCAAGAGGCTAGCCGCAGCATCAAAGGACTGGCCACTTCTCATTGCGGTGGCCAACTTCCAACTGATAGTGATGAAGAATTGCCCAAACTGTTCGGTCTTTTGAGGTCTCGATCGAACCAGTCTGGTCAGCCAATCAAAATAGGAGTGGACTGCCTGCTCACTCCCAAGTTTCAACAGAATGAAGCACCAACGGATGGAAGCTAATCCATCCAGCACTGCCAAAACACTGCGTGGTTGCCACGCTTCTTCAGGGGCAGCTACGAGCTTGGCATCGTTGAGCAACAACGTGGTAGTGCTGCGATCCTTCTTGGCCAATGGGTTTGGTTCGCCAGCCGCAGTAAAAGTCCTGGCGGCTACCAACTCACCGAGACCCACCGGACTGTAGGTCTTGGAGCTGGTGTGTTCGTAGTAAACCCTGGCCAAGATCTTCTGTGCCAAGAAGTTCGTTGACCGGGAAAATCCGGTCAACGCCCCCAATTTGTTGCGACTGGTACTCATGGAGCAAATTGGCCCAGACACCGGGAGGCAACTGCCTCGGAATCTTCTCCTCGGCCACTGGATTCGCTGCTGCTAGCGAAATGGCGCCAGGAACTGAAGTGACTGGAGGAGCATGCCGCAAGGTCATCTGAGCCTGCCAAGAGCTATTGGCTTCATTCCAGAGATGCTTCAAGATGGCTTCTGCAATTGGCTTTTCAGCCTCGGCTAGGCTGATCCTGGATCCATCCTGTTTCTCCCACCCACTCATCAAAGGTGTGATCAAAACCGATGAGAGGTGGTCTTCATCTTTGGCAAGCAGGGCCAAAGTAGCAGTGGTCTTGATGGCTCTGTCTGCAAAATAGGAACGAATGACATCCCCTGCCGCTGCTTCCACAAACAGATCCTCGAGGGCAGGCAGAGTGCCATGGTTCAATGCCCGCATGGTCATGGTGGCTAGGCACCGTTGGAATTGGGCCAGCAAAATTCTGATAATAAATCGAACCACGTGTGTCTGAAAGACCGATCTGCCGTGAACACTTAACGTGTCGTGATGAGTCGCAAATCAACACAAAAACAACTGTGCAAAGACCAAAGTTGGAAAAATAACCAAGTGGGGTGGCACAACCAAAACAAACAAAATACCTGCCTACCAGTTGGTGGAGAGCAGCCAAAGTACCACAATGATGTGCAGTGTCTCAGGTCTAAAATGAAAGACATCAAAAATGTAAACTCGCATGCAGTGGACTGGCACCTGGGATACCGTGTCGGCCGGTCGCATTTGTTTTAACCACATCAGTTGCATGAGTCAGGTTAATGTGGATGCCTATTGCTGGCACTGATCAAGAACCTCGCCAGCTGGAGGCTTCAGAACATCAAGAGCTGTCACTATCAGAAGGTTCCAGGTCAGAAAAGCCCGAACCAGAGCTCTGAACATCGGAACCGGAATCTGCATTCCGATCAAAACATTTCTGACAGGCCCTAAGGGGATCAGAAATCTCACTGACCCTCAAAAAGTTTGCCTGACCATAGGCCCATCCACACCGTGAACGCCACGAGCTAGGTGGGTTGCTGAGTTCATGCGGGCAGCCCAGGTGGACAATCTTGGACCTGGAGCGAATGACATATGCTGCAGGCGGCTTGATCACTGCTTGTTTGAGGATCTGAAGCTCGGCACGCAAAGCAGTGATGTCCCCGGATGTCGAGGTCCTGGAAGAAGAAGAAGCGCCCGATCTGGAGGACTCGTTTGAGATCCTGGGAGCAGCACGGCTCAACGCATCTGAATCAACTTGAGGGCCCACGGCAGGCGCAATCGCCAGCGAACCAACATCAGGCCGGTTGTTCAGCACCACATCAGGGATGCTCGGCAGCAGATTGAGGCCAGCTTGCTGCGTGTAGCGCAAGATGGTCATGCTTGTCCATCTCCCCAGCAGCTGTATGAGCTGTAGATGCACACCAGCTGCGAACAACATCTGCGCTCCACTGACACGTAGAACGTGGCCGTGGAAACGTTGAATGTCTTTCCCTGAAGGATCCCTGCGACCCAGTGGAATGCCAAGAAAAGAAATGACTGACCTGAGTGCCATGATAAATTGATGCTTGCTGGCAGTCTGTCCATTGCTAGTGGGAAACAATGGAAACCTATTTGCATCACCACCGCCAAGGTTGTGTTGGCACCTGATGAGGTGGCGCTCTGCCGCATGCCAGACGCATAAATTGTGTCGTCGGACCCTGCAGGAGCAAGACAGCACTCGTTCACAGAGCTGACCATAGCAATCGGTTTTGTGGATTGGAATCAGCAAGCGAAGTTCAGAGTCAGTCAAGGTCAAATGACTGAGCCGAGCTGATGCTAACTCCGACTCACGTAACATGTACCACAATCCGATAATGCAAAGATCTCGGCAGTGGCTAACTTGATCAAAACTGAAAGCTTCATCGACAAAACTGAAAGAGCAATCATTGAGTCGCATAGCGTCGAAGGACTCCTTTAAACGTTGAGCTCCAAGTCCACGCAAAATTGAACGCAGACAGTCTCGAATGACATGCCGAAGCAACGAGTCAACAGGAAGGTGCAAATGCCTGGTTTGGTGTGAGCAAATGGATTGAAAATACACGGCAGCGCTTCTGTATCCACCTGCTTTCAGACTCGCAGCGAAAGCTCGAACGTTCTCATTGGAGAGCGGAAAAGGCTCCAGATCCCAAGCCTTGCAAACAGCCTGATACGTCCGAAGACGTGACTCGTGAGCTGGAGCCGTGCTCCGAGCTAAGACATCTTCGTCAAGGGCGGCTAAACTGCGAGCCCGCTGATTTGGTCGCGCAGCCTCTAAGGCTGCTGAAAGGTTTGCCCTCTTCCCCTGAAAGGCAACTGGCAAATCAGCCCTCACTTGGGCTGGGGACCCCGCCTGCTGGGGCCCCGCCGCCAAAATGGCTTCAATCTGCCATTGGAGAACACCATTCTCTTGCAGAACGGAGGATTTCAAAGCGACATCGGAAACACTACGCACACCATGGCGCAGCAATGTGCTAGCCAGGAGTCCCTGCCCTGACGCTCTCAAAGCATCCCACAAGCCCTCCATGGGCTATTTGAAAGAAAACATTGCTCACTCGTGAACATGGATGGATCAGGTCATGAGTTGTGAGTTGCACATGCCGTTAAAGTGCAAGGGTGATGTTGACTCACATAGGATCATTCCAACTTCGGGGAAAAACTTTCAAATGGAGATGAAGTCAAAAACCCTTCTCAAAATCAAAAAAAAGAAAAACTAAGTGAGTGCCCAAAGACGGCGGCCACTAAAACAAATCAAAAAAAAACATGCAACATGCGGCGGAGGGAGAAGGGAGATGACAGGAACAGCGGAGCAGCATCAACTAACACACACGCACACACAAGAAAATGGCTGAACAATTTTCACGAATCAAAATGAAAAGTGCCAAAGGTGCGAAACCTGGCTTTGAAGGTCAACAGTATCCCGGTCACAGCGCCGAACAAGTGACCGATACGAGCAAAATTAGGACTACCGCCGTTAAGAAGGATGGAATTGATGTGACAAGCAAGTCTCCAGATGGAGACCTATCAGTTGTCACACAGATAAGAACAGATACTACACTTGATCATAGCCTGCTGACAACCAAAGGAGGAAAGCCCAAATGACCAAAAGCGATTCCACCAGTGCTGCACTGTCGTCGCCTGTCGGCTTGCTTAAGGAAATCGAAGGCATCAGAAGCTCCCAAAGGTTCGATTTCCGTAGGCAGCGTTACAGACTCGAGCACGGCGCGAGCAAGAGGCAACAGCAGAAGGGTGAGGAACGCCATGGCTCCTGCAACCCAGCCTTTTCAGTTGGCTTTCCTGAGCCAACACTTCTGCCGGCCAATCAAGTCGTCATGGCCATGTTCCTACGCACATGCTGTGCTACACGTCGTGGCTCATACTCCAGCACATGCATCAAACATGTTTGAACTCTTGAGGAATGCGCAAGTTGAAGATTCGAAGACACACTTCGGGGCCTGGGACGTATTTCAATGCCTGACCTCAAGGCCCGCCACAGATGGATAGTCACAGGCACAGTTCCCTGACATTCCGAGAACAGTGTCTCAACGTAAGTTTCCCACCCAAGAGCTGCTGATGGGTAGAAACCTGAGCAGTGTCGAGAGACTTCTATAGGCTTTGGGCACATCAAGGGCAGCATGATGAAACGCCAAAGCTAAATCCGGCTGTCATATGCTTTCTTATGCGTTCATGAGATATATTCCGAGCACCTGGCGTCTCGCATCCAAGAGCCATTGAAGAGGTGCGGACGTGTCACATGCCTAACTCGTTTGATCGTCTCGCGCTGGTTGTGCTCATGTTCCGCAGGAGAAGAGGTCAGCAACTGAGCGCCTGGCAGCATTTGTTCTAAACCTCCCTGCTGAACCCTCTCCATCAGCTGCACCTGGAAGGCCAAGGCGGCCAAGGGTAAGAAACGATGCAAACAAGGGTAAGAACAAGAAAATGAGACAAATATTAGACAGTTCTGAGATGTTCTGAGGCAGAGGCAAATCGCATTTGCAGTTGCTGAAATGGTTGCCCAAGCCTTGGCCAAATCCCTCAACTCAAGCAAGAGGCATCAATCTCAAAACCCGGGACGTGTGTTCCTCCAACAACCAGAAATCCTAACGTCCTAACGCAAACGGAGACAAGTTCAGCACAAACTCCTTTTTCTCTTTGCTGCGTTTACAATGACCCACAAGAGTCACAAGAACGGAAGTGAGCTTCTTAAGGAACAGGGTCAGGCGATACCAGCAGGTTCAACGAAGGTCGTCACAACACTAACACTAAAAGTACCAAATGCATCCAAATACAATTAATGGAATTAGTCAGAACTACATGAATCAATCTATATACAAACATCTACAAACATCCTAGCTCGCTATCGCTTCAAATTCCGCCAAACCTGGTCAAAGAAGTTCGGCCCAATTAGCCAATCCAGGGCTGTTTCCAGCCATGGCCGGGGCTGGATGCGATGCATGCCTGTGCTATGAGGCACCTGTCTAGTTGCAGGTTCAATGGCTCAAGCCGTGAAAAAGTGGCAACATGTAGCAACCAAAACTTATCGAAACCTCTACACAATGATAACAACATGTAACAACAGGAGAGAGTTGCTCGTTTCAGGCAATCACACTGACTCGAACTTGTTTTGGAAGCTGCGCGCGGACTTTGCAGGGTGTGTGGAATTGTGTGGCAAACAAATGGATTGGGGCGACTGCCATTGATTTTTAGATACATATGTTTACCAGTTGCCATTCAAACATCTCCGTCACAAAGGCGCGCGTCTTGACTGAGACTGCCAATGGTAATCTGGTGCAATGGCTCACTGCTGGTCCGCAGTTTGCGAAAACGAAACATCGCTGATTGCGCGTTCACTTTGCGAAGGCGCCTGGGAACCTGCACACATTGGCAGGTGATCATGGTGATCAGCTTCACTCAGCTTCCAGGTTGCAGCACACTGCTGACATTTACCAGTGACAATCAATAAACATCAATAAACATCAATAAACAAAACCAATCCGTGCAAAGTATGTCATAATGGCAGCAGGTCTTGTAACATACCATGCGAAAAGCAAATGAAAACCATGTCATGTATGCGGGGCACCTACAGTGAAACGACCATGGAGACAAGGCGATGAGACCTGCTGCGAAAGCAGGGAAATGCAAAATGATGCGATGCAAATACCATCAATATCCGTCAATGATCTGCAGATCGACCGCTTGAACAGTCAGTCGAGTCATATCGCGACCTTGCGGATCAGTCCTCGACACCCGACCTGAAAGCAACAGCCATGACAAGAATGACAAGAATGACAATGAACATCCATGAACTGAGCCCGCTCAGCGCACGCAATAGATTCCGTTCGAGGACCCAACGCCTCTGAGGCATGGTGCGACTCACTGGTTTCTTTGCTGCCTGTGCAGCGAAGATGTGCCACGGTTGAGTTAGTGCAGCTAGGACAAAATCAATCCTGTCGCTACATGTCACTACATGTCAAGGTTAAATGTCCGGGCGATCTCCAACATCCAATTCTTCAAAGGGCCGTTGGAACAGTACGTGGCACCTACTGTGACAATGATATTCTGACAAAAGGAGCAGAGCCAGGTGTCCTTGTCGCCCGGAGCCAAGGTTAGATCCACCTCGGCCCCCTTTGGTTTTGACTTCCTGCCACAAAGCTCGCAATAAGCCATGGATGGATCCAACATGGATCCAACATGGATCCAAGATATTCCAAGCAAAGCCTCAGCACTTGAACTCAGCAATTCGTAGCGATTCTATCGGGCCCTTCCTGACCAGCTGTACCCCAGCTGTAGCCGTCCTGCGTGACTCTACGGAGGAGCTTCTTCGCCAAAGATTCGACCTTGCCCAGCTGATCCTTGTCTTCACCTGGGCGACTGGATGGTGTGCCCCCGTTGTGAGCTGGACATACACGCTGCATGAACACACATCAAGGCTCTCTCTCTCTCTCTCTCCATCGCCACCACACTCGTAGACATATATAGAATTATGTGCAAACATGTGCAAACAAAAATTCCATAAGGATTATGTATGTCTTGATGGTAGTGGACGCATCAATCAAACATCTGTTTCACAGGAAACCTAGCCCTTACCTCTCCCTTTTTTGACTTGTCCAGTTTGTCCATGTTTCATCCTTTTTCAGGACACGATGTGGTCTGCAGAGCGCAGTGGTTGCCAGGCGGCTTCTCTTGGTCTCCTCAGGCCACTCCAGCTCGGCGGAGCACGAACCACCAAAGCGCAAAATGGAATCCTGGCACTTCGAATCGCGTTGGATTCCAGTCAGGTGGTCGAATGGTCTGGTCCAAACATGGATTCAACTTTTCAGCACCGAATCCAAACACCCCTTGGAAAGTTAGTGGAGTTCTGGATGTGGAGACACCTGGAATTCATGTTCTCGCCTCATGAGCGAAGGTTTGTTATCCAAGGTCCATCCCCATCCTTGCCTGCAAAACCACGTGGGCACTGGCTGGCTCTGTGAGCTGCAAACCACCAGCAACTCCCACGTCACCCTGGCAGCGAATTGCGCGTGATATTCATGACATCGGATGTAGACTTGTAATGAATTGTAATGACTTGTATACCGAAACTATCCGAAACTACTATAACTCTAAATGGATCTAACGTGACCTGGGCAATGGCACATCTGTATCTCAGAGGGATGCAGTGACGGTGCCTGATTGAACTCCACAGGCTGGTCAAAGCCGAGGCTGGCCACAAAGTTCCTGGTAGCAATTCCGGCGTTTCAAAACGAACAGAGGTTGAACTGCCACTTCCCAAACGGGTTCAGAATAGTTTTTGGATTTTTTTGGGTTCAGGTTTTGGAATTTTGTTTGGCTTTCTTTCCTGGTACCATTTGCCTTGTATTTACAACAGCTTGGAACTAGAATGTGTCATTTTGCATCGTATTTGCTACATTTGGCCATGTTCGCCTTCCATTTTGCATGGTATTTGCCACGTTTTGGCACTTCAACCTCTCATTTGCATGGTGTATTTGCTACATTTTGGTACTTCAAACGTTCATGTGGATTTCTTGAGAGTTTCTTTAGGTTTTCATTTAGGGTTTCATTTAGGGTTTCATTTAGGGTTTCTTTCGGGTTTCATTTAGGGTTTCGTTTACGGGTTCTTCAGGGTTTCATTTAGGGTTTCATTAAAAGGTTTCATTTAGGGTTTCTTTAGGGTTTCATGTAGGGTTTCATGTAGGGTTTCTTTAGGGTTTCATTTAAGGGTTTCTCATCAGGATTTCCAAACGTTCATGTGGGTTTCTTTGGGGGTTCATGTACTGTAGGGTTTCTTTAGGGTTTCATGTAGGGTTTCTTATCAGGATTTCCAAACGTTCATGTGGGTTCCTTTAGGGTTTCTTTAGGGTTTCATTTAGGGTTTCATTTAGGATTTCATTCATTTAGAGTTTCTTTAGGATTTCATTTAGGGTTTTTTTAGGGTTTAATTTAGGGTTCATTTAGGGTTTCATTTCGGGTTTATTTAGGGTTTCACTTCGGGTTTCTTTAGGGTTTCATTTAGGGTTTCGTTTACGGGTTCTTCAGGGTTTCAGTTTGGATTTCATTCAGTGTTTTTTAGAGTGTCATTTAGGGTTTCTTTAGGATGCCATTTAGGGTTTCATTCAAAGTTTCTTTAGGGTTTCATTTGTGGTTTCTTTAGGGTTAATTTATGGTTTCTTTAGGGTTCATTCAGACGTCATGTAGGGGTTTCTTATCAGGAGTTCTTATCAGGATTTCTTTAGGGTTTCTTTGGGTTTCACCTGGGCCTTTAGGGTTTCATTTAGGATACAAACAGGAGAGAATAAAGCAAAAGAAAAGAAAAAAACAAAGAGGCAGTAAAGACAGGAAACAGAGAAGCAGAGGAGCAGGAAGTAGAGCAGCAAAAACACATGACTGAAGAAAAGAAAAAGTAGAATATATAGTAGAAGTAGAAAGGCACAGACAGAAGCACAAAAGCAGAAAAGCAGAGAAGCAGGGAAAGCAGAGAAGCAGAAAAGAAAAGAAGCAGGTAAAGCAGAGAAGCGGAGAAGCATGAAAAGCAGAGCAGGAAAAACAAAAAGCAGGAGAAGCAGAGAAGCTGAAAAGCAGAGAAGCATGAAAAGCAGAGAAGCAGGAAAAGCAAAAAGCAGGAAAAGCAGAAAAGCAGAGAAGCAGAAAAGCAAAGAAGCAGAAAAGCAGAGAAGCAGAACAGCAGAGAAGCAGAGAAGCAGGAAAGCATAGAACCAGGAATCCCCAACAAAAAAAAAAACTGCCGCGAAAAAAAAATAGCCCTCCCTTCCCAAACTGTCTCGGGTTGAAATGCAAGGAAGCCCTATGAAGCCCTATGAAGCCCTATGAAGCCCTATGAAGCCACTTGGCGCTGTTTAGGCAATGCAATCCAAGAAACGCAAAGTGTCGCCGATTGAAGTTTGACAAGGCCTCAACGACAATGCACACGTAGCCATGGCAAAAGAGACATATTTCTGGCACCAGTATGATGTCAGGGCGAATTGCCTCCACGATTTTCTGCGCTCGATTCAACCGAGCGAAACCCACCATGTCCTGGCGCACATCAGAATCGCATCTTCTGGGTGCTCCAACACTTGATGCCAGCGACGCTTGTGGAATGACACGAGGCTCCATGTCCCAATACCCCTGAATTCTGCTGGCAGTTTGGGCGGTACAGTCCTGGTAGATGTACACATAGCTACTGTTGAGCTGAGCAATCAGCAGGTTCATCAAAAGAATGGATGATGCCAGGACCTTAACTCAGCACCTTCCCCTCCGACGATCCAAGGATATCCAAGGCATTCAACCCAAGCCAGTTGGGATCTGCTCGGTAGGAAACGGCCCTACAAACATCAGTACTTCCAAGGAAAACATGTCGTTGGTCGGCCGCCTTTCCCTTTTCTCTCGCCGATGTTCTCATGTTGAGAACTGCAAATCCATGCACAGCAAATCGAAGTAAACAGTCACGCAAAAAGGGTATGTTGGACTCGAGTCTGGGAAAAGGCAACGAAGACATGTACTGTCGTTGACAGGTACGGTATCAACCACCAGCTGGAAGTCATGACATGTATGGCTATGTTGTAGGGACCTTCATAGGACTGGCCCCTTTTGACTCAGGTTGCTCATTGCGCGAACTTTGTTCTGGCATCTGCATTGGAACTTGGTGTGTTCTGACAGCTTGGTCTATATTCCAGCACGCATCACTGATTGCCAGTTGTAAGGCTGCTCTGTCGATTGTACCCTTGTTCAGGCTGTCTGCAAGCATTGACCTTGTATCACACCAGATTAAACGCGTCAACTTACCAGTCTCAAGCAACTCTCGCAGTTTCAAGGAGTGGATCGTCATCGTCGCATCATGTGGTGCTCTTGGTTCAGTTGTTGCAGTATGATCAAACACGGACGCAGCATCGATCACCAAGTCTGCTTCCAACGCAAGTTTACCAACTTCAAATTTATCGGCAAGTGCACAAGCTGTACTTGGACCTTCTAACACCTCCGTCAGCGTCAAGGAAATGTTAAACAAAAGTCCAGCAAGGTCTAAGGCACTATAGAGCTCGGCAGCATAGGTTGACCTGCAAACTCTTGTTTGTTTCTTAGAAACATACTCAATTATCTGCAAGCCATTTCTGCCAAGTTGGGGAAAATCACGGTCCACCAAACAAATCAGACCACTTCGAATTGCCAAATGATCCTGATCTTCTCCCTTAAAACCAGAGTCTGAGATCGCCACGAGGCGCCATGGTTTATCCAGCTTTCTAAACTTCATTGCAAGAGGCTTGCTTTTCAAGTACTGCAGTACGCGGTTGGCATTGAGCAGGTCTTGCACTGTTGGACATTGCAGTTTTCTTTGTAGTGCGCCTAAATATACGGCTATGTCAAGTCGCGTCTGAGTTACCCAAGCAATTCCTCCAAGCAAAGAACGGAACAGGTGTTGGAACTCTTCATTGACAGGTTGGTCTTTTGGTATCACTTTCAGGCTTTCGGTTGGTATTGGTTTCAGCTCAGAGATGTAGTGAGATTGGGAAATCTCCATGCTTCCATCCTTGCACAGGGTGTGCTGCAGGCCCAAATGGACGAAATTATTCTTCTCCAATTTAATGGAGTCAAATTGCTCCTCAAGCTGCTTAACTACCCATGACATGGTTTGAGGGTTTCCGCACATCTTTATGTCATCAACATGGATTGTCATCAGCAGGGAGAGTCTGCCATTCTCTCTCATTTGGAAGAGCTGTTGATCGCCCTGGCATGCAGTGACTCCGATGCGAGTCAACACTTTCTTAAGTGCAAGCAACCAAAGACGCGGTGCGTCACGGAGTCCAAATCCGGGTTTAACTAACACAAGAATTTCAGTTGAAGCATCGTAATCTTCATACCCTTCTATTGCACGAAGAAGAAACTCCCCTCCAGGAGGCAAGGAAATCTGAACATCTCTCATTTGTCCACCACTTTCATGTAGCTCTTCAAACGTCAACCCACGCAAGAAAGCCTCTGAGATATCTGCACTCCAAAGTTCCCATCCTTGTTGAACTGCAACAGCTATGAGGAGACGTTGCGACCAGCGGGTCGAAGTTCCAGCAAACGTGGCAGTCTCTTGCCTATCAAGAAAACCTTGTGCAACAAGTCTGGCCTTTATTTTCCTGGCTTTGGAATCGCCAGAACCAATATCTTTCCACTTCAACACCCATTTGGATTTGAGGACATTGGTGGCTTGTCTTTTGTTGCCACGTTTCCAAGCTTTATGTTTCACCCAACGCAACAGCTCAAGCATCATGGCCTCTCGGCATTCTTCAACATGATTCAAGGCTTCTTGGCGGTCAAGAATGTTGTTCACACGCTCAATCACAGCTGTGGTTGCTGCGAAACTGGCAAAGGCAAACACCGCATGTTGGTCTCTTCTAAACCTACGGTTACCATGCATACCTGCAAGAACAACATATTGCATCAAGTGAGCTGGAAAGGCAAGTTCGGGAGCTTCATACAGATTATCGGGGTGGACTATTAAGGTTGAAACTACATTAACATCTTGGATGGCATGCAAGCGATCTGAATCATAAGCTGTTCCATGAAAGGCTTCATCTGAAACAACACTCATGAAAGCAAAATCGTACGGTCTTGCATCTTCCGCATGATGGACATTTTCAGGTTCTGGATTTGAAGTCTGGACTTCAGGTTCATCCAAGTGATCCGTTTCAACATTGGCATTTTCTGAAGGTGATGGCTTTGGTTGATGATCAGGCTGACCATCTGCAAGTGCTTTCTGACCGCTAGTCCTGAGCACTTCTTCTGTTTTGTCATGCATGTTGGTGAAGTCAGGTTCATGGGTTCCTCCAAGATGCGGCACATCGGGAACCACTTGTCGTAGAGATTGCACTTCAAACTGATCGACCATCAGAAACTGGACTACTGAGGCTTCAGGCATCTTAGTGATGGTTTGCACATGGAGCATTGCCAGGAGTAAAACAATGGAACCATTCAGTCAAACCACCGTTCTGGCTATTCCACCAAAGAAGCAAAGTGTCATCAAAAGCTATGGCAGGGAGTTGAGACACATTTGTTCCGTATCGGAATCCTACCACTCCTTCCAGGTGCATGCAGCACGCTGACACATAAAGTCCTGCAGACAAAAGTGCAAAGTTTTCTTTGTTACCTTGGCATTCGATCCATGTTCTGCCTTGCTTAACCCATCCAACACGCATCAAATGTCCTTGATGAGCTTCAACTTCCGCACGGAACAAACGAATGGGATTGGACGGCTGCATCAGGAAAGTTGCAAAAGTAAGGGCAGAACGGGTATCTTGCACTCTAGCTGACAGAACTCGGCCTTGCCATTTGATATGGACTATACCATCTCGCAGGCTTGACAAGTCAACTATTTGTGCTGGACCATGCCAACCAGTGGAATCCTTACTTCTTGGCTTTCTGAAGAAATCCACAAGATCGCCAGTTTGAAGTTCTAAAAGTTGTCCTGCTCTTCTGGTCTTCGTGTTATCTGCTGTTCTTGCCTTCTGGTCTGCAGTTGCTTGGATCATGCTTCCAAGCGCCAAGTGTCTGACGCGGGCTGCGTCTCTGTCTGTCAAGGCTTCACCAGTCTCTTCACCAACAACTGAAAGCAATGGAGGAACACGTCCAAACACCGCCTCGTAAGGCGAGGCATTACCACATCGGAAAAGGGCATTCTTGGCAAAGACTGACTCAGACAAAACGACACTAAACGGTACAGCAAGTCCTTCGGCATTGGACTGGTCATCCAGCAAGTGCAGCTGGGCTCTAAGGATCTGGTTGTGTCTTTCCACAAGACCACAGTGTTGCTCTTTCGCTCGGAAAACAACTTTGATCCCTCTTCTTTCAAACCATTCTGCAGCAAGGTCGGAAACAACACCTCCCTCTTGGTCACAAAGTATGGTGGCAGAGCATCCAAAAATGCGAATCCAACATTTGGCAAAACCATCAAGGATGCTCTCCGGCTCTCTGTTCGGAAGGATTTCAACTGCAGTCCAACGTGTGCAAGCATCTACGCAGTGAAGGACAACATTGGTTTTATAAAACAGCAAGTCTATTTGAACTTCAAGGTTGAAGGTGTCCGGAACTCTTGTTGAGGTTACAGTTCTGGGTCCAACACGTTGCCAGTTGCGACATATATCGCATGTGTCGATGATTGAGGGTACCAGCATCAAAACATCATTGTGGACACCTGCGGCTGACAACAAAGTACACATTCTTTTGGCACTACAATGGAACCATCTTATATGAAGCTTCCTCAACGTTCTTCTGACAACACCTTCTCTCAAAGATCGCAGTTGTTGAAGTGCAAAACCAAGATCATATTTGGACCAGGCTGGAACTGCAATATCGTCAGCATCAGGTGCTACTGGGACAATGGCATCGTCACGTACTGCAGCCTCAGCAGCATCTGCAAGAGGTCTTGGGGCCTCTGCTTGAACACCTATGCTTGAACGTCTTGTTCCAGCTGCATCTGATCTTTGACTCTTGGCTCTTCTCCTAGCTTCGGCCTCTTCAGGAGTCAAGGCCTCAGGAGCATCAGGTGGTGCTTCGGATGCACCTAGAACTCCATCATTTCTCCCTTCCAAACGCAGGCTTGCGGAAGGTCAGATCTGGCTGGAACACGGCCATCTCTAGGATGAGTGGATGTTCTTTCACGGGCTGCTCCTTCAGGCATGATTCGTGCAACTGCCCATTGACATGATTCATCATTTCTGTGAGAAGGGTGTGCACGATTCTTTCGACCCACACAACCAGGGCATGTCCATGTAACACTTTCGGTGTCTGGAAACTTGCAGTTGGCATCTCTGGTGTGTCTCGGATCAGTTTTGCGCATATGGCCTCTGCAAGCTGGGCACGTGATAGGTGCAGCATCGGCTGATGCTTCGGCAGCAGCTTCTGGAAAGTAGTTTTGGAGATTGCTTTTCTCATGCATTGACATCAAACATTCAACAACTCCAGCTGCTATCCTTTCACAAAGTTCTCTGGGCCAAACCTGCATGTCGGCACTTTTGACAGTGTGTCTGCTGCTACTGCCCCAGCTACCTATATGTGCATGTTCATGGCTACCATCGCAACGCAAGTTCTGCAAAAACATCAGCAACGCCGGATGTGAAGCTTTGCATTCGGTTGGCTTTCGAACTGGAAGGTATGGTGGCTTCAACATGCACAGGCCAGTCATGCACTGATCAAACACTATGGAAAACATGTAATCTTTGAGTTTGAGCCATGGGGGCTCTTCATACAAACCACTG